ATAACTTTGATGTCAATAATATATTTTTTTTCCATATCAAAAAATTATTTTTCATTTAAATTTGCCTTGCAAAATGTACAATATTATGCACTATTAATATGACATTAGTGATTAGTGGTAATACGTTAAAACTGAAATTTGATATTGTGTTTAACAATCATCCTGCTATGTTTGTCATCCTACCTATTGTTTTATACTTAACTTAAAATTTGTTAGATTTGCCGTAACTTTATTTCATAATCATTTTAACTTAGGCAGGGTACATAAATGTACTTTTATCATTAATCTATAAAAGGGCAAGCACGAGGTAACAATTGACCGTCATTAGTTACTATGGTGAAGCTACTTTTCTTAAATGCCATGGTAACCGTTGGCGAACTAATGTTATTTACCTCATCGCGAAAATTTAATTGCCCTTGAGGAATAGCCACTGCCGGTATAGCAGCCTAAAAGTACTTACGCCTATTACTCCCGGGAGTAGTTATATCGTAGAAATAAATTCTTTTCCAGGAAATAAATTCTTTTCAGGAAATAAATTCTTTTCCAGTATATAATATAAGTACTTCTTTACTTTTTTTTTTTTTCAAAAAAATTGAATTTAAAGCAGCGCTAACGCTTATTGCTGCTTATGTTTATGTGTTTTTCATTTTTGTTTATGTTATGTTTTGTTTAGGTTATGTTATGTTTATGTTATGTTTATATTTTGTTTATATTATGTTTATGTTATGCGTTTTTCATTTAAACAAGTTGTTTTTTTTCGGAAAAAATTTTCTTAAAATATTTCTGAAATCTCCTTGAAATATTACTCATTTATAGACTTAATACATTTGACATACAATCAACTCTCAAACACTAAGAGATCGGGAAAAAAGTTCGAGATATCAAGAGTTTGAGTTATCAATAACGGCGTTGAAAATAAGTAAAATTGTCCGACTTTCATCAAAAAACAAGTTATTTTTCTGACAAAAATTATTAACAAAAAGAAAACTACAATTTTTGGAAAAAATCTCTTATCTGATATTGCTTTAATTTATCAACCCTTTTCATCTTTATTAAATCCTCAAGTTTTAGTGCTAGGGATTGTATTTTTGGTACTTTTTTTGAGCTGTATAGCGAAGCATTTTTAAGTGTTGAAAGCATTTTTTAATTGAACATAAGATGGCTGTGGCGGGGCTTCGACGTCAATACCTACTTCAACGCTATCTTCAACTTCATTGTCGTTTTCAAAATTAGGGTCGAAAATCTGAACAACGATTTCAGTATCAGTAGCATGTAGACCCCTGGTTACTACATCACAATCTAAACCAATGTAATATTCCACTGAGAGGTCCTCTTAAACAGCACTAGGAACTAACTCTCGACAACGGTCATGTTCTTCTGTCAAAGATTTAAAAGGATGATCATCATTAGCTTCTTCGAAACTCTTATTTGTTTTGTTGATACCTTTTTCAAAGCAGTTGATGACAGTGACGAAACAAAATCTTTGATTGCTTGAAGTAAAAAAATTTTGACAGGTGTTCGTTATTATCGACTGTCTTGATACACAAAGGCACAATTTTGTGGCGATAGTAAGCTTTAAGACATCGTATTACGCCTTTATCAATGGACTGAAGGACAAATTGGGTACTAAAGGGGGAAAATATTAGCTTGATGTTGCTTTGCCTTTTAATGTGTGGATGGGCAGAACAGTTATCCATCAGGAGTGCTACTTTCCTGTCCTGAGCACGAAAAGATGAGTCAAGCTTCTTTACCCATTTTATAAAATAACCTTCAGGCATTCTTTTTAGCTGATTTTTATGTGCATGGGAGTTATTTAATGTGCTTAAAACATTGTGGGATTTTAGATTTTCCATTCACAAATACAGGGGTTGTCCATAAATTTTTCTCCTGTTGCACTCCCTGCTGCTATACCTGTTAGTCTGACTTTAACATTTTTTCCCCCTAACATTATACTCGTGATAAATGGTACGTTTTGTTCGGTAGGCAACAAAAAAAATTAAAGCTTATGCCGTTCCTAAAAATAGGTTAAAAAACAGATTCAATTTTAATCAAATGTTTGAAAAATTCAATGCTGGTGCATGTGTATCTGTTTTTATTTAAATTAAATAAGATTTGACAAAATTTAAGAGAGACCTTTCTTTTCAATTATGAAACCAACAATCAAGCGCTTAAAAATCTAACTCTCCTAATGCTTCTGCGAATTTTAGTGTCTTTTCTTTCAGTACGGTGCCATCAATTAGTACTTGTTGACTTCTTTTTGCGACGAACCAAGTGAACATGCTCTTGTCTACAATTTCGAAATTACTACTACAAAGTTTCATCCTTTTAGATTTTGTGCCATTTTTTTCCAGTGAGGTTAATAATTTGTTTTTATATTTAACTCAGGTTGATATTGTTTTCTTTGGAACACCATACTTTTGGGCTAATTCTTTGTTAGACATCCCTTTCTCGAGGTATTTTATTACCTTTTATTTTTTTGTTATAGATTTATTAGTAAGTTTTTGTTTAATGAGGACATGTTATCGCGTTTGACAAAATACAATAAACGATCATTTTCATTTACTCGACTAGACTATTTATATCGATAGTTAACTAAATACTCTTATTTACATATAATCAGTGTATACACAGTCTGTGTATGAACCAAGCCATTTAAATGAAAACTTTCCAATTTCCAAACATCCTTTTTTTAATTTTTCAAAAGTACTTTATGGCCGATTTTATTCAAAAGAAGTTTTTGATTTAATTATAATCTTTGCGCTATTTATTTTGAGCAACTTTAATATTTTTGTATGCACTTTTGAAAACTTCTTCTCCTAAAGAATAAGAAGAGCAATAAATAAGGTGCAAGAACTGCATCAAAAGTTTTTCTATCAAAAGGTTCCAGGTCATGTTTTTTAATATTAATTAATCTATATTTAACATCAACAAGTAGAGTTGGTTAACACTAACACGATTTTATGAAAAAACCAGATAACTAAATGTATAAATCTTCGCGGCGTACAGAGACTTAAAATTAAGAAAATTACACATCTATCGCACTTAAATGTAAAATTGTCTAAATATTAATACTCCAGTAAACGTTTAAGATTTACCATTGCGTTACGTCATTTTAAAGAAGTTTTTCAGCTGTTTTTTTAAAGTTCACGCGTTTCTTAAAGTTCACACGTCCTCCATGCCTGCAAGCAAATAGAATTTTTAATGTTCTCCGTTTATTTTACCATTAATATGTTATAAGTTTTATTAGTACACTGCGATTTTTTTTATGGTTCAGTTTTGTCTTAGCCCATTTTAGAACATTTTTTCTTGTTAATATATTAATGCTTTATTAATAAAGCATATTTTATTTTATTTTAAATCAAAATTCTTTTTGTGTATCTAACATGAAAAACTAAATTAATGTTATTAATATTTCCAAAAAAATTGCCGTGTCAAAGATTATTTGTGCACGCCTTTTTATGAAATGATAACAAAAAGTTCCACATTTGAATAAAATAAAATAAAAAAGTTACGATATTAAAACAATAGGTAGGATAATAAACTAACAGGTTGATTGATATACATAACAATATTGTGTATAATCGATTTGTATTATAATATTAAGTATATCATTAATCGTTATTGTATCATCGTTAATCCGCTCGTAAAATTTTAGTGTTTTACTTTCATCAGAAGCAAATAAGTATAAACAGGATTTAACTTTGTAACCGACTCCTTTTTTTTATTTCAATTTTATAAATTAAAAATTTTGGAGAACTAATTAACAAAAAACTTTTTTTGAAAAGTATTTTAACAAGAAATAGTTCTTTATGGTTAATTTATTGCATTTAAACTAGTTCGAAATTATTTTGCAACCCAATACAATTATCACTTCAAAAAATCTTTACTTAATTTGTACTAATACAAAAATATCTTTAAACAAAGTTTATAATTATCTTAGAGCATTATCATAGACAGTCATTTCAATTTGAACCTAAATTTTAATAATATCTTCTTCATATCAATATTTTGTAAAGTTTAAAATTTCATGACGTCATCTGCAAACAAAAATCTAAATCTCCGTAATAATTAAAAATTGTGGAAGTAAAAAAACTGTTTGCAAAAAACAAACAGTTTGACGTCAAAGCAACACAATTTTAAGCAATCTAAAAATGTCTTAACAAAGTAGAAGAAATTATTAGAAAGCAAGTGTGTAAACTAACTTTTGTATTTACGAAAAAAGAATTTATGATATTCGTTTATTAGCTTTATTAGATGCAACATTAGTGTTGCTCTAAATGTTTTTGATATTATCTACTATTAAAATTATTTCAAAACGTTTTTTTGCCATTATTCCACACTTTTGCTCTCATTTCACAACTTTTTAAACATTATTTCATTATTATAAATTTTTGATATTATTTTACAACTTTTTTTGACATTACTCGATATTATTCCTTAACTTATTAACATTTTTGTTCGACACCATTTGCCATTATTCAGAACTTTTGATGTTATTTCACAATTTATTCAACATCATGGTGTCCCTAATATTATTATAATGCCTAATAATAAAATTGTAATATTAAAGCTACTTTTTATTGTTATCTTTAATTTAAAAATATTTTAAAAATAATATAATAAATCCTTTGCTTTATAAATTGTTTATTCAAATTTTTTGTTACAAGGGGTCGCCCATAAATTACTTCACGCAATTTTTGACCGTTTTCGAACTCCTCCCCCTCCCTCGTCACAAAATTGTAATACTTAAGAAGCGAGTTTTGAATGAGTCGTCACAAAACCACCAACCCCCCCCTTCCCCCTTATAGCGTTACGTAATTTATGGACGACCCTTAAACAATCCATCGTTAAATATTGGCCACGACTGTCTACGATATAGATCCTTGAAATAAGGCTAAAGTAAAGCCCCTTGACAACAAACAAAACAAACACAATTTATTATAAGATCTATAGTGACTCAGTTTTATTATTAATGACGTAAAATATTACTAATGACGGAAACAGTTTTAAGACTATTGCGCGTCAGTTATATAAATACGTGTGTACTTCCAATACATATACAATAACCAATAAAATGTTAATTTTTGTATTTGTAATGGTAGAATAAATAGCAAACAGAATTGTTAAATTTTACTTTTTAACTTTTTAAAATTTATCTTGCTGCTAAAATACTTGCGTCATCTGAGTATGTTGATAGATTTTTTTGAAGATTCTGTTAAAGTTGTTTGATACGGTTAAACCACTTTATTTTACGCAAAACAGGTTGGATTTTAAGTATTTCAACCGTTTTTTAGCTCAAATTTTTAAATTTCAAAATTTGGACTACAAAAACTATTAATGGAATTTCAATTTAAGGTGGTACAACACCAAATAAATAAAAAAATTAAATAAACCTCCAAAATAAAAATGCTTTTAAATACAGTTTACTCAAATGATTTAAATAAAAAAAAGCAAAAAAAAATTTTTTTTTTTTAATTAGCATTAGGACCATAATGGCGGAAAAACTATTAAAAAATGCGTTTTTGGACTAAATTTCAAAACATAATATCTAAGGCTAGCCATCATTATATGACCTGAAATTTTGTACACTTACTCTAAACACTATTTTATTCCATTTAACAGATAGATTTTTTAAATATCAAAGTAAATGATGAGTTATGTAGTTTTTCCTCATATTTTATTTATTTTTTGACGTTTTAGAGAGATCTGACTAAAAAAAAAAAATTACTGATCATAAAAAAAAATCCATCTGTTAAATGAATTTTATAGGTATTTCGAGCAAGTACTGAAAATTTCAGATCAAATGAACAATGCTAACTCAAGAAACTGTGTTTTGAAGTTTAAGCAAAAATAAAAAAACGCGAACTAAGATAAACAGCATTGAAAAATTCTTGATATAATATTTACAATATTAATTTAAAATCCTCCTGAAACATAACTGTCATTACATTCTTTTGCTTTCTCCTCATCTAGGTGACCTTTTTTAATGGCTCTAAGAGTTTTTCTTCTTTTTTTTCCTTCTCTGATGACTTTTTTTTCCTTCTCTGATGACTTGCACCTCATTTGACTAATCCTTTTTTTATTTTTAGAAGTCGCTGAAATATTTGATACCTTACCATGTAAACCAAAATGTCTAAAAACACTAATAACACCCTTTGCACCATCATCGTATGCTAAAAAAGCTGAATATGTTCCCATTTCCAGTGTTGATTTAGAAACAAAAACTCTTTTTGGTACACGAGCCCAAATAAGTCCATTAAGTGCCTCGTTAGCATTTTGTGTGTTTCCATGTAAACATTTTGATAACAATTCATCTGATTGTAAATTTATAATTATTGGTAGAATTAAATCTTTTATCCACAGAGGTATGGTAGATTTGGGTTTATAATTCTTTTGATTTAGAGCCCAGCATTTGCACCAACAATATTTTCCACGAGGACAAAACCGGTGGCGTGTGTAGGAATCAGGAAAATTGGTGAAATGGAAAAGTATGGCATAAACTGCTTTTTTCATTGAATACAAGTTTCCCACATTAGATCTGATTGCAAGACCATAGAAATTTTGCATTAAATTAATGCAGTTTTCAGTGAGTTTACCTCTGCTTAATATTGGTTTTTTAGTACCTTTTTGGGCTTTGACAAGGTTTCGTAGACGTGTTCCTAACCGTTTTTGAACATGTCCAACACATTCCAGTTTTACAGGCATAATACCATACTCTTTGTAAGGATCTGCTTCTATTACATCATTAAAAGAAGATGTATCCCCATCTCCTAGATATTCTTTATATATCAACTTATTTTTTTGTAAAGATCTCTTAAACATAGCCACAGCTCCTACAGATTCCATACTACCCGATGAACCCTTGTGATTCGATTCACACTGGTGATCAACCAACCAACACTGATACTCTGGAGTTCCTTTTTTAGATCTCCACATTTTACATCCATTGCAATGTTTGGTAAATATCTCTGCATCAATACATTTATCACTACAAACAGCAGTTACAACACCATTCAACGAATTATGACCTCGCTTTTGCCATGAACCATCAATAGAAATTCTAACTTCTTTCATTTCAAGAGAGTTGTTTATTGATTTGGTTTCAAAAGCAGCTTTTTGCATACTTTCCTCAGCAGCAATTTTGTATACTAACATGGCAGTTTTATTTAACTTATTAAAGCCACTAGGCGACAAACAATAAAGATTCATACAGAAGGAAAAAGTTTTCATCGACTCATGGCCAGCACCTATTTCTCGCAATCCAATGACAGCTCGCAGGTTGATCTCATATGGTGATTCTAGAGTTGAAAGTTCTTTTTTATAAATAGGAAATACAGTATCAATAGGAAACTCATTTGTGTTCAAAGAATTCTTTGACTGTGGTGAAGTTCTAAATTTTTTAGAAAAGTTACACTTTGTACACTTCATCTCAAGTAAATGACAAAAGCCCATGCGAGAATTAACGTTATCTTTGATTAACAAATTTCCAATAAAGCAAATGGGGCAAACAGTGTGTGCAATTAATTTCTTTAACAATAAAAAGTTAATAAGTATAAAATAGTCGTCAGAGTCACATTTATCCGAGCTGAACGATACATCTAACTTTCTTGAGCTAACACAAGAAATCTCATGATCTGCAGGTTTTGATTTAAGAATATCAGATGGTTTAAACCCATTCCATTTTCTGCTCTTCTTTCTAGTACTATTTTGTTTATTTGGCATTTCTTTTAAATATATTTATATAATATATATATATAATATAAATCCAAAGGGTAAACAAACAATAACACTCCAAATCTTTCAAATCTGTTAGCTGTTACAAAACGTGTTTAGTGGTTAAGAACAATGACTTTTAATTGAATTTCAATTCGGAAAACATGGAAGTGACATCAAGCTTACAAAGCTTGAAGACTCCAGTAAAATTGAGCTTATTTTTAGGGAGAAATTGCCCTAACAACCATGTTAAATATTTAGTATCTCCGTTGCTAAGGAAAAAAAGATACACAGTGTTCTAATAAAATGCTCATATCTAAAGAAAGATAAATTATTTAGCTCTGAAACTTTGGCTAAACGTTCTTTGATTAATTTGACACATATTTTATGCAAAATTGAAAAACTCAAAAAATTTTTTAGTTTTCTAGTTTTTTTGGTGTTGTACCACCTTAAATTAAAAATTTGTTTTTTAAATTGAGTTTGAACATAAAGTAATTATGATTTAGAGATAAACAATCTTCCTATGCCATCTTTACTCCTGTAAGATAAGCTGAAAATGGTTTATAAAACTCACACACTTAACTTGATCTGACTCTTTGGTATCAGATATGCCCCAAAGCAAACAATTAATACGTTTAAATATTATTTTATTTTTCTTTGTAGCTTATAGTTCCTGGAAAACCTTTTGAAGCATCGTTATTAAATAGCTCATGTGATTGGCAGCTACAAGAAAAAAAACATAAAAGTAGGACTCTCTTTTTTATTATTGTATTAGCTATTTTTTAATTTTTTAAATTTTTCATTTTTAGTTATTAAGGTGCTCTAAGATGACATATCGGTCTTGTCATATAGCACCGCGGAGGAGCATTTAAACAGGAGATTCACGCTTCTTTACTTTCCTATGCCCTTATTTCCCAGTAAGCACAGTTTTTAAAACGTTTAAAAAACCTATGAAAACGGTTTTTAACGTTATTTAAACGTTTTAAAAACAATCTGTGCTTACTTGAGTTGGCTCAATATGGAATCAACCAAGGACTACTTGGTTCTGAGCAAGAACTCTAACTATTGCGCCGCGGCTGCACTGACATATTTGCCTGATATGGCGAAATGTCAGGCAAATATGAGACGCAAAACTTAAAATTTTTTGCAGTTCAGTTAACACAAATGATTTTAAACTTCCAGACCTCATATTTGCCTGACATTTTGTTATACCAGGCAAAATAAGGTAATAAATATTAAATAAAAAACCGAATACTGATACATAACCGTTAATTTGATTAAACCGTTTTTGCAATGACACAATTACACTAATGTATAAAAACATTGAAGAATACTATTGAATAGCGTTTTTTAAAATCTTGGATAGGGCAATCCTTACTTCCGTAGAAAATTAACCTTATTTTTACGTGGTCTTATAGAATGGGTGTTTGTAAACTCTGGTTCTACTTCACTAACGAGATCCATAGCGTCTGTAATACAAAATATGCAAGAAATATTAGTGTCTACTTTGTTGATTAACCTGCCGTTTTTCAATCTGAATTTTTCGACTGGCTTATTTTGCTAGATACGTTAATACAATAAAGAATCTAACAACTAGTCAAATTAGGAAAGAAAATTTTTTTCCCCCCAAGCGTTTCGGCTTTATTTCGGTGATGGCAAGAAAAAGGTCTGATGATTGTCAAATATTACTTTTACATAAAAACGTAATGCTTTCACACTGTTTATGCGTGAAAAATTCAAGAAAAATTCATCACTGAAAGTTACTTAAGAATTAAACCTTTTGAAGGTGGTTTTTATCTGTTTTGTAGGAAAAAAGGTGCACAAAATTTAGATTAAGTGAAAATTTTGTACAATTAGATAAAACTAAATTTAAATTACGGCTTGTGCAGGGTACGAAAAAGCCAAAGGTTTTAAATTGAAAATTCTTGCTTAAACATTAGAAACCTTTATGCATGTCTGAATCCAGTTTTTTTTAATTCATTTCAGAAAACATCTTTCAAGTGAACTCCTATTTAACAATTTACTTGTAAAAACGAAATAAAATGTTTTCTTTTGGAAATTTCTGGTTCAATCTGAACAAAACGACCCAATAAGAAAAATGACGTCGGAACAACGTTGTTTTAACGTCTTTCGTATCGTTGGAAAGACGTTGACATGATGTTATAAATGAAACACCGAAAAAAACGTCATTTTACTAACGTTATTACAACGACGTAAAATGACGTGGTGACAACGTTACATTTTAGCTAAATGACGTCGGAAAGACGTTAGAGCAACGTTAAATTTGAAGAAAAAAGACGTTATAAAGACGTTAGGCTAACGTTATATTTTAGCTAAAATGACGTTGAGCCAGCGTCTTTTCTATCGTTTTTTTACACGTTGGAATAATGGCATATATGAAACATAGGTCAACGTTATATTAACAATGTTGCGAAACGTTGCACTATGCGTCGCGAAGCGGAAATAGGATTTTACTTACTTTTCAGAAAAAAAATTTCAATTTTAATACCGTAACATGGGGTTACTTCAATCCACTTTATTGCGATTTTTGGTTTTAACGATCAATTTTGGTCTATTCAAAATATTTTTTCAATCTTTTTTTTATTCAAATTATTAATAAAGGTATTAACCTTTAATTCGAGCTATTTAATTTATAAAATAGATTAAAAACAGATATAGTTTTTAGTTTTCCAAAAAGTGGCCTAATGTTACCCTGGGTTGGTGTTTCTTTAGGCCATGTATACTTGGTGTGCTGTTTTGTTTTATTAACATTCAAATTACTTAAATAATTACTTTCATAATCTTAAAACAAATACTAACTTAATATTTACTTTAGGAAATATCTCGAAATTGTTAAAACAAATGGCCTTTGATCTATATAAAGACAAAAAAAAAAAAGGAAAAAACTTTGTATATTGTATCAAATATTTTTTTTGTTCTGTAATAACAATAAACAATAACTAAATAACAAGTAGGTAGGCATCTACTCTATATAAACATATAATGTTTAATAATAATTGTTTCAGTCAGATTTAAATGCACGTAGCTTACACCTATATTCACTGTTAGATGTTGCACTAGAGATAACACATTTAACTTTTTTTCGTTTCTGGGACACTTTTACAGTATTTTTGACTGGTATAACATCTGATTCTTCTGAGTCAGGACAGATTCCTTTTCCTGGTGGAACATTTAGTTTTTTTTTGCGCTTTAACATTGAAGGTCCAAGGTCTGCACGATTGTCATTCAAATGACTGATAAATGCTTTAGAAATAAGACTTAGATCAGCAGATGATCGATCCTGCAGTGGTAGGCGATTAATAAGAGGTTCTTTATCACAGGGAAAAATTCCACACTTAGCAAAACCTGATATCAAATTTTCACTAGAAGTGTCTTTTATTAATTCCAGCACTTTTTTTAAAAGTGATGGAAAGTGTCCTTTTGGAAGTGTTGTAGATTTTTTACCTACAGGTGATTCTTTCCACAAAGTTAAAACAATTTTCCACTTATTTTTTAGTGGCCTAAAATAGGCAACATCTAGAGGTTGTGTCAAATGCGATGAGTTAGGTGGTAAACAAACAAATACTATGTTATTTTCTTTACACAGTTTTAAAACATTCTGACTAATGTGCGATGACAAATTATCCCCAATAAGAACTTTTTTTCCGGTCTGTTTTTTCAGTATAGGAAGCAGGTGAGCAGTAAACCACTCCTCGAATGTAGCATTATCTAACCATCCATGTTTTGTGCGATTGTACCTAGTTCCATGGGGACCGTTTTCAGTCCATGTGGACCACAGATGTTCTGATTTGTAGACAACATAAGGTGGTATTGTACCTCCAGCAGCATTGCCACAAAACATGACTGAAATATTGGACTTTGATGAGTTTATTACTCTTTCAGGGTATTTACAGCCTCTACGACATATAATTTTTTTGCGTCCTGGGTCATCACTTAGGTTTGTTTCATCGTAGTTGTATATATTTTCTGCTGGCACATTTGTAACAACTTGGGCGAGGTTTTCAATATACTCACTTAAGGTTTTTTCATTAATTGCAGCCCGATAGCGTTTTATATTGGCTGCCAAGCGCAAAGTAAGCATAGGATGTCTTTTTAAAAATATTTTACTCCATTCTAGTCCTGGAAAATTATTTCTAAACTGTGGAATAGTTTTATTTTGCGAAGTGAGGTAATCCTTTACAATAAACCTAAAATCCAATTCATCCAAAGGGAATCCAAACTCAGACACTGCCACGATGTGAGCAACAAAAGCTGATTCTTCCGAAGCAGTAAATATTGTAGGATGCCCTGGGTTTTGATTGTGCTTTAGCTTCAGTTTGTTTTGTATGGTATTTCTACATATTTCAAAATGTTTTGATGCTTCTCTCTGGCTCATTCGACCTTCATTAATAGCAGAAAGGCCCTGTTGGAGCTTTTTTGGAGAATAGTCCACATATTTTCTGGAGCCTGGTCTTCTAGTATACATTCTTGGCATTTTTATTAGCTAGAATATAAATCAATCAATATTTTACTATTAAAAGAAAATAGTTTACAACATAGTAAAATTAATACAATACTTTTATAAAGAAGAAATGCAAAGAAACCTTTTTGAAGAGACTATGAAAGAGACTTTTGTGAAGAGACTACTTTTATAAAGAAGAAATGCAAAGAAACCTTTTTGAAGAGACTATGAAAAGAGACTTTTGTGAGGGGACAAGTAGTACAAGACTAATTAATATAATAAACAATATAAAAATAACAACAGACAAACAACAACTAAAGAAACAAAAAATAAAATCAATAATATATAAATATTTTATATATAATTTCATAATAATAATAATAATATATCTATTAATAACTTTAATTTATCATATTTGTTATAATAACAATGATAATAATAATAATAATAACAATAGCAATAATAAATAAAATTAAGAAATAAACCATATGATATGTCCATTTAATGTAAATAAAATGATTGGATTTTATTTATGATGTGGTGTTACTTTAAGTCCGGCCTAAAGTAACCCCATTTTTAAATAAAAACTCACTCAAATAAGATAAGTTATTTTTTTCTCAAAACTGAATAAAAAAACAGTAAAAAAAATACTCAAATCTTTTTACCAAAGTGTTAGTCTAACAAACTCAGTGATTTTTTTTTCTGTAGTGTGTACTACAAAAGCAAACCACGTAGAAGTTCTGCACAGTAAATTTTACAAACAAGTTCAGTTACTTTTTGACATCCAATTAACAGATGTATTATTTAGTGTGCGGCAAAGGCAATATGGTTTCTTGACAGTATTTGCCACATATAAATTAAAAAATAGCAAAGAACGCGCCACTTTTAGGACGTTTGAACAGGAGAAGCATGAAACTTAAATTTTCAGTGGTGGAACAAAGTAGGAACTTAAGGCACAAAGTAACCCCGTGTTACGGTATTTTAAATATTTTTTAACTGAAACAAGTTAGTATTAGTTAATAAAAAAAAGTTTTTTTTTAATTTTTTTAAATTTGCCTTTTTAGGTGCGGGATTTTCAGGGGTAAAAAAACCCATGTTTTCACTAAATCTTTAAATTACATAAGATAATTTTCAAATTTCTTCATTTTTTTTGCACATTTTCTAATAAATGATACATTTCGTAAATTAAAAATCAAGAAAAGAAAAAAAAAATGTTTGGATCATTGTTTTTGGGTGTCTGTAAAGATTGATCGATTAGACCATGATACTACAGAGGTAGCCAGTTTTTTATTTTTTTTAAATTTTCTCAAACAAATTGACTTTTTATAAGTGAAATAATATTCTGGCTAACTCTGTAGTAACATGCTATAAAATCAATTCAAAAGAGGTGGATTTATTAAAAACCGGTTAGTTAGTTTTTGTCAAGAAGAAACTGGATGCGGGCGGAACATTCTTTTCTAGTCTTTAAGTTATAACCTCAGTTTGGCTCTCATCGTGATTTAGAATTTTTTAAAAATGGTTACTTTTAATCTTAGCAAACTTCTGGCTGATAATTTTCCTCCAAGGCATATTTTCACGAGTAAAAATGTATCTGAATGTGCTAAATTTTTGCAGTCCAAGTTTTTATCACTTTATGCTGATTGCACTGTGAATTTCAACATTTTCAAAAGTCTGGCTTTTAATTTAATAAAAAAATTTAATGAGTGTGGAAAAAGAAAAAAGTTCTTTCTTAATAAATATAAACAATTTTTGGATCAAAATCAACAATGCAAATATCTTTTGTGAGTATAATATATATATATATATATATATATATATATATATATATATATATATATATATATATATATATATATATATATATATATATATATATATATATATATATATATATATATATATATATATATATATATATATATATATATACATATATATATATATATATATATATATATATATATATATATATATATATATATATTATATATATATTATATATATATATATATATATATATATATATATATATATATATATATATACATATATATATATTATACTTGTGTGTGTAGATTAGAAAAAGATTCTGAAAAAGAGATTAGAACACATGAGGAAGAACTGCTATTAATTAGAAAAGGTGAAAATCTGATTAAACAGGGTAATCAACTCATCAAGCAGGGTGAGCGTAAAATAAACGAAGGGAAATTACTGCTTCGTACTCATGGATCCAATGTAAACAGGTATGCATAGATAAATGTATCTCCATCTTTTTATTTTGCACACACACATACATATTGTTTGACTATGTTTCACAAAACCTTCAAAATGTATATATGTTTCAATGTATTTTTTTATTATTTATAGTGTACCATGTAGAGTACCTAAATCATCTGCAGTCAATACATCTTGTACACCAAAACCTAGAAAGTCTTTTATTAAGCTTACAAACAGGATGAAGCGTAAAAGAACAGATAGTCTTAGAGAACGAGAGGTGGAAGAACTGCAATTTAAAAATATAGTGACTCATAATCGTCATCTTGTTCCTCCAGAACAAGATGACGATTGTTTAACCAAGTTGAAGCAACACAAAAAATTGACATATCCAGAACAGGTTGAATATTCTGAAACCGAAGTAAAATGTAGTCTTTTCCATATGATAAAGCATTCAGTTTCTAGAGTGTTTGAATATCTTTTGGATTATGAAAGTAACTGCATAATAAGTTTATCACAAGAAGAGCGTGGAAATGTACAAATTATTTGCAAAGTAGGAGGTGATGGTCAAAGTGATCAATCTGAGTTTCAAAATTCAGAAGGTGTAGATGATCGCTCTGTGTACAGTATAGTGTTTGTACTGCTGGAGATCCGAAGTGGAGAAAAAATAATATGGAAAAATTTAATTCCAAATAGTCCAGATGCAACCCGTCATCTTCTTTTTTGTTTTGCAAAAGAGACTGCTAGTTTTATTCAGGAAAAATTTGAACATTTGAAAAATGAAATTTTTTTATTGAAGAATATTGAATTTAAACTTGGTGAAAGTACTTTTGTAGTAAAGTCTAGTTTGTCAACTATTTATACCACAATGAATGATGAAAAAACACTAAACGCTGCTGTATCAAATATGCTTAAAAAAAGAATTTCATCTCAGTCCTGCCATGTATGCCTTGCAAATTCTAAGGAGTTTAACTTGAAAACTATTTGGAAAAAAAATATTAATTTAAACAAGCATGTTTTGAAACTTGGAATTTGCAGTCTTCATCTATGGATGCGCTGTATGGAGTGGATTTTCAATACTGCTTGTAAACTCCCAGCTGTTAAGCAAGGAAGAAATATTCCATCACAAAAGAGTAAAGAATTTATTGAAAACAAAAAAAAATTCCAGCATTTATTCAAGATACAACTGAATATAAGGGTTTCTTTTGTCAGGAAAGGATGTGGAACAACCAATACTGGAAATGTTGCTCGCAAATTTTTTAATAACCCGATTGTGACAGGGAGAATTTTAAACTTGGATATCAGAATGATTAAGTTGTTTCGAGATTTACTCATTGATATAAACAGAACAACTACAAGACCGGATATAAAGGTTTTCAAACAGAAATCTGAACATCTATTTGCACTCATAACTAATGATAAATTTTTAAAAACCATACCTATGTCACAATCTGTGCATAGGGTGATAGTTTCTTCTTTTATAAGGTATTTTAATTATCCGATAGGTTCTTTGTCTGAGAATGCTATTGAAGCCAGAAATAAGGAAAACAAAACTGCTCGAATTGGTCATGCTCGTTTAACCTCTTTTGCAGAAAATACTAGGGATACAGCTAATTATTTGTTTATGACATCTGATATGTACCTCTTTTGCAAAAAAAACAAAATGGATAAAAAAAGAGTGAAAACAAAATAGTTTAAGAAAGCAAAGTGAAAGTTCTTCTGATAACTGCTTAAAATAAAGGTAAAATAGTTTTATTATTAATATTGTTAATAGTTTTGATTGATTTTTTTTTGGTTAGGCAATCTCATAATTTTGGTTAATTAACAATTCAAAGTTGCGTTTTTTTTTGTTTTTTTTTTTAATCAATTTTAACAAGCAATTAAAGGCCGTTTTCCACAAGACGAAATATTCGCGCGAAGCGAATTTTTTCGTCGATAAGCATGCGCAGATAAAACATTTCTAGCAATTATTGCTAATTATTGCGAGAAATGTTTTACCTGCGCATGCTTATCGACGAAAAAGTTCGCTTCGCGCGAATATTTCGTCTTGTGGAAAACGGCCTTAACTATTTTAGGAAGTAAGACCATGAAGAATCATACTGATGAGCTGTTCTGCGTTGAATTTTTAAAAAACGGCTATTTTCATAGCCACAAGTTATTAAAAACATCTATTAGAATAGAATGTTGAGAAACTGTGAAAGAATGCAAAGAGCCAAGTATTATATGATAGCAGAGTTGTTTATTATATTCAATGATACTGTTTATTTTGAAATAGTGTTCATATACATAGTTTGTAAAATTCTATAAAATATAGGCGCCTACTTTTTTTTGAATAAAATCATCCGGACTTGTGTAGTTTTCCGGACAAATCTAGAATTAGTCCGGACTAACCGAAAAAAAATTGTTTTTTTATGAAAACCGAATATGGTTCTTTTAAATATAGAAATATAAATAAAAATTTGATGTCTTGTGAAAAAATCAGTTAAATACTTTAAGTCCTTCTTTATTTATATGCCTATTTCCTCATTTTGTATAAGAGCAACGCATAGTTGATATACGCCCTCCAACGTTTTTCTGAAATACGCCCTCCAACGTTTTTCTATCATTTTTGATGTTATTTCTACACTGCAAAAAACAATAAAGGACAATTTTACACTGTATAACTTTGCGCTGTCAAGCTATATTTCTTCTTATTTATTTAGGTCATACACGATTATTATATTAGTCCGGGCAAATAATTGAATACGGAAATTAAAAGACTAAAAATAAATAAACATTCCATCACTTCTATTCCAAAATTTTAAAATTATATACAATAACTTAGAATAAAACCTGTTTGATTTTTACTTTCTTTGCAAATTTCAATCATATCTCAAATAATTCGCGTATTCTTTGTTTGACACTAAAAGACAAATATATATGAAGAAACATAAAGTTACAATCAAATTCAATTAAAAGCATTTTTACGAACTAAATAAAAAACATTCGGAATAAACAAATAGAAATACCACAAATATCAGAAATTGTGCTAACTTTCTAATTGATGCTAACCTGAGTTTTTCTGCTTTCGAAAGACTATCGACTGGAAATCGTTTAGCAACATTATCTGAAATAGAATAAACAATACCTCAATAAAATGCAAAACTAATGAAATTGCCTCCAAAATAATTTTAATTGAATAAATAAACAAAATAAATTTAAAACACACAATCATGAAATAATGGAAAAAAAATATGTCTAGTTTTAACCTCAAAAGATATAAAATATCTTTGAGTTCAGATTTCTGGAAAGTTATTTTTTTACAAGTGTTATTTTGGCAATATATTTTTTTATAATATGAATTGCATGGTAAATAAAGAAACTGAAATCGTACATTCTCACTAAGCAAAGAATCAAAAATTGTTTTTATAAATAGCTCTCTTTAAGACTAATGATTACTTTGTTAGGTGTTTTTTCTTCCAATCCGAACTATTTATATTTCACTTAAACCCTTGACCATTTGAGCAAGTGGCATCTTCTTACCAAAAGCCAATAATTTTTTAAATAAAAAGGCAGACATATCAAGAAGCAATCATTCAGAAAACTATAAAAAATGAATAATGTTATGTAAATTGTATGTTATGAATGTTGGACCATAATAATCCACAGCCTTAATAATCCAGTCATCCAAACCAATTTAATAGCATCAATGCATAACCAACACATTGATTTTGCTAATTTAACTTGTATCTTCAGTGCATAGAGACCAGTATACAAAAGAAATTAACTTTATAGCCTTTTATTTTTTAAAACTCCGCCTGTGATCTAGACTTTCTGTTTTTAACAAAATCAGATGGTTTTTTACCATCTGATTTTGTTAAAAGTCATGAGACTTTTCAGAAATATGATTAATTTGAACATATGACAAATCACATACCTCTGGCTCCATTTTTTCAAAATATCAATAATTGACGGACAATACCAAAACAAACTATATAATATAAACTAGATGATATATTATATAAACTAGATGTCAAACTTGCGGTCCTTTATTGAACAAAAAATGATGTCGCTTTTTTTGCTTAAAAATATAATTTGCCATTTGTAAAAAGTGTTAAAGCTGAAGCAAATGTGTGGAATAAAAGTTCAAAATGCGAGTCAAAATTAACCAATAAATTAAAGATAATTCAAAAACATGTTATAATAAACATAAAGTACTTATCAAGGTTTATTTAAGGTTTATTTCTATTTTAAATTTTAATCCCTTTTTAATCGAAAATAAATTTAGAAATCATAAATTATTACTTTACAAGTACTCTAATTTCCTCTTAACACTTTTACATATATAGATTACATATATAGATTTAAAATATATTACATATATAAAAATTTAATCTGTCATTTGTAAAAAGGACAAAATTAACAAATTTAATCTGTCATTTGTAAAAAGGACAAAATTAACAAATTTATTCTGTCATTTGTAAAAAGGACAAAATTAACAAATTTAATCTGTCGTTTGTAAAAAGGACAAAAGCGGCTTCACTTTTTGGATTCAAGTAAGACAACTAGTTTATATAAAATATCATTGGTTAATACACATGTAATCATTATGGAGCATACTTTTAATATCAATGGCTAGATGTGAAAACCAAAATAAATGTAATTACAATAATTTTTCAGTATTCACATGATTAGGTGTTTTAGTAACATTTATTTCGTATGCCCATGTTGCTGCATTCACACAAGCAAATTATATAATGAAAAATGTGCAACTAAATGTTTAACTGGCCATTGAACAAGGTCAAAAATTAAAAATCAGGACAAATATCAAAGGGTTTACTAAATGAGCACTTTTTATAGAGAGTTCAGTAAAATATAACATAGAATCACTTTCAAAATTATAAAAACTATTGGAATAGGCTTAAAGAAAAAATCACTGATTAAACTTCAATAAATATCATTTTCTAATAAACTGTTTATCAAACAATTATCCTTTCATAATATAATTTATCTTGATATCATCATACATTTATATTTGTTTATCTGTATGCACAAATATATAAACTTATATATATTTTAATATAAATATATATATATATATATATATATATATATATATATATATATATATATATATATATATATACATATATATATAGCTACAGCTGTACTGAAAATATCGAAAAAATTATTAAAAACCATAACAAAAAAATGATTTTCCCAAAAAATGAAAATAATGACAAAAAATGCAATTGTCGAAAGGAAGCAGAATGCCCCATGAATGGAAAGTGTAAATCTAAAAACCTTATATATAAATGTATCATAGCAGCTAAAAATCAGCCCAACAAAGTGTATATTGGATTAATGGAAGGCGAGTGGAAAAACAGATACAACAATCACAAATTATCATTTAATAATGTTAAATACAAAAAGTCCATGGCGTTATCAAACTACGTCTGGGATTTGAAAAACAATTTTAACGAAACCCCAATATTTACATGGTCTATTCTGAAATCTGTACCCCCCTATTCAAATATTTCCAAAAGGTGCCCACTATGTCTATACGAGAAATTCGCAATTATATCCTATCCTAAACCTGATGAACTCCTAAATAAATGAAACGAAATTATATCAAAGTGCCGCCACAAAAACAAGTTTTTATTAAAAAACTACAAAGCTCGCTACAAACCTTACTAACCACTAACATTAACTATGCAACCCTATTTCGTACACCTCTAGGCTAACCAATAAATTATTCACATACACAGCTTTTGTAATATATTTCGTAATATAATTTATATTCTTATACCCACTTTTAAAACTTATTTTTATATTCATTTATTTTTAATACAATAATTTTTAAAAACAATTCACATTATTATTAAATCGTATTTTTATAACAGACATTAATACATACAACAACTTCGCATATATTAACCAAAAACAAATTAATAATAAATTAAACCTTAACTACTAAACAATTTCCGTCCTATAACGATCTAAAATACCAATATAAACCGTAAATTTTTTCTAAACACATTGTAGCAAAATTAACTACTTGCCTGATGATTGTGGTAACACATGAAACTTTAAGTCACAATATAATATTATAAATATTAGCATTTAGCTAATTCCTGATACTACGGGTAACAGTAATATATATACTATATAGCTCTAGTTTATCTATTGAGCACTCTTTAAAATATACATTATTATACATGATAATATAAAGAAATCATCTTTAATATTTACATATATGCACCCACGCATATAATATATATATATATATATATATATATATATATATATATATATATATATATATATATATATATATATATATATATATATATAACAATTTATTCATATATTGTTAATAATACTTTTAATACTTTTGACATGGATACTTTATAGTATTATAAATACAAAAATTTTATAAAAATTTTGACAATTTTCATAATTCAAATCAGCATTTTTTAACTTTTAAGAAATGACCTTTTATAATAAAAATACTTTAAAATGTTCTACTGATATCATTTTTATAGCCATTTATATTAGTTTGCTAATGTGTTATATAAATATTCACATGCAATATGTTTACTCATTTAAAGTAATATTAAAATAATAATTAACAAAATCTTTGCATTTATTCATAATGCCTTCAATGTTCTGAATATACATAAAACAAATAAAAACATAAATGAAGAAATACCAAAGTTACTTCTGAATTAAGTCCTTAACATATTTTGGTAACTTTTAGCCAACACGTGAGAGTTAGCCTAAAAAAGAAAAAAATATAAAAAAGGCACATTGAAGTGTTTTACACATAAGATCTTATTTAAATATTTTTTACTGCATTCACCAAGGTCAAGCCTTAAAGACCCAAGCTTATTTAATAAACAGTAAGAACTGAATAAGTATTTTGACATGATTCAATCAGAGCAATCATGGCAAACTCATAAATATAAAACATTTTTATTCACTAAATTTTGTAACGGAAATAAAATTTTAAAACATTAGAATTATTCAATATTGTTTTTTCACAATTTTGTTAGGCTGCAACCAATCTAAAATGTTTAAAAATATTTATAGGCTGAATAAATAGGATGACATAATTTGTAACAGCAAATGATTTAGATTCATTTTAATAAAGTGATTGTAAATTTTTTGCTGTTTCAAAAGCTGGGCGTTAAAATATATTGTCCAGGTTTTGTTCTCTAAATCATGTTAAACATATTGAAATCAAACTCACGAACTGTTGAGCAAAATCTTTGTTACCAATTCTTAGTGTAAACTCGTTCAAATATTCTATTGTTAAGTTTAAGTTTAAGATTAAATAATGTGATTATGTATATTTAAGTCGACTTGTTCTGATTTTAAACACCTTGATAACTTAGTACTTTAACTCTGCACATAAAAATTGATGAAAAATAATAACATTCAAAAAATATATATTTTAACTTGGCATGAGTTTTATTAAAATATAAGATTAATTAGTTTTTCGGTTAGAAAGATAAGAGAATAAGTAAATAATAGTACTATAACGATATATATATATATATATATATATATATATATATATATATATATATATATATATATATATATATATATATATATATATATATATATATATATACACACACACACATATATATATATATTAAATATATATATATATATATATATATATATATATATATATATATATATATATATATATATATATATATATATATATATATATATATATATATATTAAATCAAATATATTTGAGTGTAGTTTTTGTATATGATATGTGATATGATATAGTTTTTAAAATTGATATGTTATACCAAAATACATACATATGTATATCTATATATATATCTATATCTATATATATATATATATATATATATATATATATATATATATATATATATATATATATATATATATATATATATATATATATATATATATATATATATATATATATATATATATATGTATGTATTTTGGTATAACATATCAATTTTAAAAACTATATCATATCACATATCATATACAAAAACTACACACAAATATATTTGACATGTACTTTATTGAAATACTTCGGAGTTATTGAGTTGAGAGGGGGTTATAACCACAATTGAAATAAAAAGGAGCCTCCTCAACTGCAGCACCCCCATTATGGCCTTTATGGCCAAAATCAGCTCTTTCTTTCAACTCTGAAATTAGGGAAACATGAGACTGTGATTCATTTTGAAAATTAAATACTGACTGAGTGTATCTCATCTAACAATTTGTGTGTATTGATTTAAATAAATATTTTGTTTATTATGACTAAGATCTGGTGTAAAATTTAGATGTTCTGTTGCTGTTTCTGTAGCATATGTTTTTTGCTTGCTTCATAGTGAGGAGTTATGATTTCTATCCTTACCATGTTCCTGGTAGTAACCCGGAGGTGAATAACAATAAAAAAAAAAAAAAAAAAAACTCAATACAAATACATAAAAAATTGTTTACCCTTTTTCGTGACTTGAGACTCAAACTTATGAGAGTCAGTGTTAGTTATAATATTGTAGGAATAGCATGATATGATTATACCAATATACAAATTCGTAAAAGAAACACATTACACAAGTTATAAGAAGCTTATTAGGTAATTTCTAGTCTAGTTCCACAACAAACTAAAAAACTTTCAATTCAAATAAATAAAATATACATTATGATTAAGACATTGTCTTAATATAACTTAATTGTCTTAAATTTTTACTTAATATATTATGTATATTAAGTAAAAACCTTGTTTTAATACAACTTACAACTGTCTTAGACAACTGAATTGAATGTCTTAAAAAAAAAGGCTCTGTATTTTTATTGGCATTTAATTAAACTGCTAAATAGTTTAATAGTGGGTATTTAAAAAACCTATCATTGCATTATCTATTTGTAAATAAAATATTATGTGCAAATATTATATATGTTATATATAATATTTGCACATAAATATACAAAGTATACAAAAACATAACAAAAATGTCAACAGTTTTTGAAAATCAAATAAAGTTTTAGTAATTTTTATTTATCATTAATATGATAAAAGTTTATTATCTAATTTGAATGTAGAATATAAAGAAATAATGTATCAATTATTAGTATCACAGAATATAATGCCTAAAAACCATTAAATTAAAATTAGATTAAAAAGAACATCTTTTTCGATAACGGTTTTTCAACCATTTTAAAAATGCGCAAGTTTGTAAAATCAAGTTGTGTTTACGTTAGAAAGCAAGACTTTAGATGATAACGTTTTTCCGACGTTGTTCCAACGTTTGATAGAAAACGTTAGAACAACACCGTTATGCCGACGTTGGAACATTGTTAGAATTTAGTTAACTTGCGTCGCGACCAAATTACAACTACGGCTTGACGTCTTTTTCTTACTGGGAAGGCTTTATACATTTCGTGCTAAGCCAAATATTTTCTTAAAACAAATATTTTTCTTAAACGTGGTTGCAATGCCAGTATAGTTATTTCGAGTATGATTGTTAGTTCGATTTGATAATTATAAGCATTTTTTTCAACTAGTACAAAACGTTATGGAATATTGAATAAAAAAAAAATACTTTAGAAAGAAAATAAAATTTAAAAACTTATTTAAAACTATATGGACTTCTGAATCGATCAAACTTTACACTTGGAAAAATATACAATTTTAATCTAAACAAAAATTTGTTTTTATTTTTATCACGTATATATACTATGGCAGTAACACTTACAGAAATAAAAAAAATTGTTAAAAGAAATACTTAGAGAGCTCAAAAAAGAAACTGAAAAAATGTTTCGTAAGAAAGAGGAAACTGTTATGGATATTATTGGCGCTAATTTTCAAAATAATTAATGACAGATTAGACAAAGCAGAGTTAAACAACACAACAAATAATAATAATAATCAAATTGTAATTCTCCACCTGAATATAAAAATTTTGAAATGCAATTTTAAAAAACTTTTAAACCTATTAGAAGAAGCTAAACACATTTTTATTATAATTTGTTTAACTCAAATTTGGATCACAGTAGATGAAATAAAAAGTAATTTTGATATTCCTCATAAAGATAGTGTATTTATTGAAACTACAAACAATCAAACTAAAAACATTTTACAAAGCTGTTTTTATGGGCTACATGACAACGTGAGCGAAAACCTGAGTACGTTTCTAACAACAAATTATTAAAAAAGGAACCAATAATAAAAAAGAAAACTATATAGTCGGAGACTTAAATATGAACTCTTTTCTTTATAACGACAACCATAAAATAAAGAATTTTTACGATGCAATTTTTGAAACACGATCAGTTACTTTAATAAATTGACTCACTAGAGTAACAATAAACAAAGCAACTCTTATAGATAATATTATAACTACTGATATTTCAGATCATTTTCCTCTATTCCTGAAACTTAATAAAACAAACCCAGAAAGAAACATTAATACCAAAAAAGTAATAAAAAAAATGGGTTTTATTTCATTCGATTACAAAAAAGCGATTTCTCCCATCAAATTACCTCAAATCTTTATTGATCAAAAGGAAATAAAAGAGATTTTGTTACAAAGTATTTAGGTGTTTATCTTAATGAAAAATTATTTGGAATCACCGATTTGATTATATAAGCACAAAAATTTCTAAAAACATGGGCATCTTATATAAATCACGAATCTATCTCAATAAGAAAGTCTTAATCCAATTTTATTACTCATTTACACAAATACATATAGTTATTTAAGTTATGCCAATATTGCTTAAGGAAGTACAGAAAAAAGTAAGTTGCAAGTCTTTATCTCCGTCAGAAACGCGCAATCCGTATAATCAATTTTGCAAATCGCTTCTTTTATTCGAAGCATTATTTTATTAAAATGAGAATTCTGAATATATACGAGTTAAATGTATTTTATACTTTATATATATGTGTATAAATAACTTATCTTTAGCCGTCTTCAAAGATCTTTTCTTTTTTAAACCAATCAGTAAATATATTTATAGAAATAATAACACTTTAAATGAACATTAGATTCATAAGATAAAACATTGAGTTATTACTAGTAGTAAATTTTAAAAATATATTTTGGTCTATTTTTTTGTTTATATACATGTTTACGTTTAAAGACGTTTATTTCTACTTATTTTATTTATTGCTTTTTAATTTATATGTTGGTTTACTCTTGTATAAAATTCTAATAAGAAGATCCTCTTAATCTTTCTTCAGACACAGATTATTTACTTTGCAATTTTGTAAAAGCTAATTAATTTTTTTTTTAATCTTATCTTTGTTAAATGCTTATTTAAGGTTCTGACGACAAGATCCTTGAAACCTTCTTTCAGATACTTTGTTTATATTTGTTATATTTTATATCAAGTTTATATTATTATTTTTATTATTGGTTATATAAAGCTGCACAACGACTAACAAATGTAAACCAAAAAAGTAGCTGGGAAAATAAAGTCACCTGAACAAAAAGCACTTGCTTTAAAAAATATATAGATTTTTCTGATTTTTTTGTTTATCAAATTTTTATGAAGATTAAAATGGGTAGTTTTAAAGCCCAGAGACAATGGAGAGAAAAATATTTGTTAATTTAAAGGCCACTTAATTGGTATTACTTTACGAAATTTAGAAGATTAAAAAAAAAGTTTTTCATAGGCCTACAACCTTAATGTAAACAATAAAACTATAAACAAATTGATAAACTTCGCATCACTTGCTCATATTCATGGCATTAACCCAAAGGCTGATTTAAATTGTCACCACCGAATGATCCCAGGAAAAAAAGTTGCTTAAAGAAAAATTTGACATATTTGGATCAAGTAATGTGGAGAGATCGACTGAATAAGCGCGAATTTCATAAGTACGAATTGGCGTAAGTACGAAGTGCGAGCTTACATTAGTGCAAACACAGGAAAAAAAGATCTATAAAATTTTCTATAAACTTTTGAAACATATGGCCTATAGAAACTCTATAGAATTTCTATAGAATGTCTATTAACTTCTATAGAAACTGCTATAAAACTTTTTTTTCTATAAAAAAAAAAGTAGAAAAAAAATTTCAATAGGAATTTTTATAGAAATTAACAGAAACTCTATAGAAATTCTATAGAATTCTTAAGAATTTCTATAGGCCATATGTTTCAAAAATTTATATAAAATTCTATAGAACATTTTTTCCTGGGAACTGACATAAATGCAAAGCAGTTGCAAAAACTGGTACAAGAGCGCCAAAAAATTTGCAAACATTAGCATAAGTACGAATTAGCATAAGTGCAAATTAGCATAAGTGTAAAATGCCAATTTACAATAATGTTAATATTTGCAATTTTATTTGGCGCACTTATGTGAGTTCAATTTTTTGTAACTACTTTACATTTATTCCAGTTAACACTTATGTCAATTCACCCTTATGCTAATGTTTGCAAATTTATTCGGTGAGCTTATACCAATTAGCACAATCCCAGTTCGCACTTATGCCAGTTTTGCAACGCTTCGCACTTATGCCAGTTCGCACTTATAAAATTCGCGCTTATTCAGACTCTTAATGTGTACTTATCTATGTACCATTTCAGAGTCCCTGCACGGTCATTGAATGGGTTTTTTTGCCTAACTATTATAATAATAAATTTTGGATACCTTTTTTTATTTTTTTCTAGCTTTTATATCACGAATAAATGTTTTAGTAAGAAATATTTTACTTAGCTATTTTTTTATAGAATGTAATGTGATTGGGAAAAAAAGACGTTAATTTAAAAGAATTTATTAATATTATCAACAAATAATTTTTTACTAATTTTTATTTAACTGAATTGATTAAAATAATTAAAATAAGCGGTTAAGTGATTTAACTGATTAAAATTGATTAAATAATTAAAATAAAAAACTTTAACAATTAATTCAGCCTGAAACATTTTTTTAAACTTATAATTCAAATATTTTTTAAAACTTGTTGAATAATGTTAAAATAAAGTAACCACAATATTTAAACATCAAAAATTACATTTTCGTAAAAAAATTAAAAAACATTTGCTAAAGAATCAACAATTAAGCCTCTCAGTTCACTTTTTGGTTAACTACATAAAAATAAAAATTGAAAAAAGCGACGAAATAATATACGTTAATCTAATGAAATAGTATACATTGATTAAAATGATATTTAAAAAAACCTATGGTTTAATGCTATGACTAAATAAGCTGACGCTTAAATCTAAAATTTTTCAAAAAGTGGAGTTAATCGAAGTGAGTACTGAGAGATTCAATTACCTCATGTTCATTATTCTAATGTTTATTATTCAAATAATCATTCAAATAATCTACAGCGATTTCCATGTAATATCCAGGATCAAACTCTTTATAAGGAAAATCTTCATTATATTTAAACTGCGAGGGATAAAGAACACTTTCAACGCTTGATTTAAATATGCTTTTAGTTATACCTTGAGTTGAAGGTGACAAATTAAATGAAAACAATACCGTGAAACCATTTTCTTTTACTAACTTAAGCTGCTCACAGCATAGCATGTAAAACAAGCGCATACTTAACACGTTTGAGGTGTCACTATCAACATACATAGTTAACGAGTCAGCTATATTGTGACCGTTATTAAGCAGCTTTTGTATTACGCTACTGCCGTAATAATCAGTTAACCCATGAAATTCTTTAGGCATATAATCTAGAAATTTATATTCTGCTCCTGCTCCATACATTGGGCATGTAACAAAAGCTCCCATAATTTTATTGTGTATTTTGACAGCCATACATAAATGGGGATGGTTATCTCGACACTCTTTAACAATAAGCTTAAAAAATAATCCAAAATCAAAACCTTTTGACGCATGAAACATAAACATCGGTTCTTTGGTTAAAAAAGCTTCTGTCATTCTTTGAATAATAAAATCGATTTCGGAATCATTTAAATCAGTAAACAATACGCCTTGAATATGGTCTTCATCTGATAATGCTGTATTTGTGAAAGTGCCATTGCAATTGACTTCGCATAAATCATTAAAACTCGTTGTTAATTCATTAATTGTAAATTCCAATCCAAAGTTTTTTATTTCTTCCAAAAAACTAAAAACTGTGATAGAATCGCCCCCGTGTTCAAAAAAGTTTTTATTAGGATCAAATTCATCGTCATACAAGTCAAGGATTTTACAAACTCCGTATTTCAGCTTGTCAATCTTAAATTTACTCTCTAATAAATAATTTAGGTTAGTATAGTCATCACAATCTTTGAGAAAATGTTTTGAAAGTTCGTTTCGATTAATTTTTTCAGTGACTGATTTAGGAAAGTTGTCTACTTTAACGAACTTTGAAATTAAATGGCTTGAGAATATCTTGTATGTTGCACTTCTAAAAACAGTTGTTGGTACATCTTCTTGAGTTTTAAAGAAAGCGCATAAAACCCATTGTCCTTTTTTTATGTCATATTTTTTAATTATGTATATTTCAATATTTGGAAACAACTCTTTAATAACGTTTTCTACTTCAAAAATGTTAACTTTTTTCCCTCTTATTTTTGTCACATCGTCCTTTCTTCCAATGAATTCAATTCCGTCTTTAGTCATTTTTACAACATCTCCTGTTTTATAAACTTTGGAAAACATTGCATTGTGCTCAAACGGATTCTTTATAAAAAATTTATTGTTATCATCTTCCTTAATGTATTCCGTTGCTATGGTAGCACCAGAAATCCACAATTCGCCTTCGTCTCCGTCTGATACCAGACATTCATCGTTGCTAACTATGTATGCTCTAATACATTCGATTGGATATCCAATTATTAAACTACTTGCATACTTAAACATGCTGTCTTGTGTTGCAAGGGCAATGCCAGTAGATTCAGTAAGTCCGTATTCATTGTATAGTGCTGCGTTTGGAAAATGATTTAAGAAAGGACTAAGAATATTTGGAGGAACACATTCACCCCCAGTACAAGCTATTTTTAAAGTTGAATTAATTTCCGTCCATTTAATTAATTCAATTAGCAAGGTTGGTATGGCAATTACCATAGTCTCTTTATGTTCTCTCAGAAAATAAGAAAACAAAGGAAAGTTTTTTGAATATTCATCTGTCAGTGAAATACAATTATGCAGTTTAAAACCGCTATAAATATTTCCATCCAATACGTGATCCATACGCAGTTTGTATGCAAACACAAAACATCTATAGCGCTTTTTAGGTTATGTTTCCTTGTATACCACTCCACCATTGCCAAAAAGTTTTTTTGAGACAAAATGGTACCTTTATGGCTGCCAGTACTGCCTGAAGTAAAAATAACACAAACTGGATCTTCTGTGTCGATGTTATCATTTGAGGTTTTATGTTTCAAGTGTACTAATTTGTCAAACATAGAGGTTTCGTATAAAGTTTTTATATTATTATCGTACTTGTTCCACAATTCCTTTGTTTTAGAATTTTCACCAAGTATAATGTGTGTCAAGTGTGCTTCTTCTATGATATGTTCAATAGTTTGCTTGTTGTATGCTGGATCTAGTGGTACAAATACTATTCCACATTTTATCAACGCAAGTACTTTATAAACTCGTTCAATACCATTTTCTATGAATAAACCAACTCGCGTTCTTTTGCATAACCCAATTCGAGAAATGAACGTTGAAAATTCCTCAGTCTTCTTAAAAAGTTCTTTGTATGTGCAGTACTTACTGCCATTTTCTGTTAGCTCATTTATTCCAGTAATATTTTGCTTGTTGTTTAAAGAATTCCCGAAAACTTGGTACATGTTGGTAAACTTTTCTGTTTTATCTTGATACATTTTATTAGCTTTAAAAATAAAATATGTTATAGTTATTCGATAAATAAATTTATTTAATATATATATATATATATATATATATATATATATATATATATATATATATATATATATATATATATATATATATATAATATATATATATATATATATATATATATATATATATATATATATATATATATATATATATATATATATATCTGCGTGTGTGTGTGTGGTGTGTGTGTGTGTGTGTGTGTTTGTAGTGTGTTTGTATCAAAGTTATTTAGCCTTAAAGTGCTCGATGACTTATAATATATGAAATGAAAATGAATATATAATATATGTACTGAATATAGAAACACATGATTTTTACTATAATGAGTTTCATGCTATTCCTCAGGAAAACTATAAGGTTGCAGTAAAAAACGTAAATTTACTGTTGTGCGCGCACGGATTAGTCTATTTAATTAAATCTTTAGGTTTGTGGTTTTCTTAATAAAAACTTATTTTTGTGACGACTTTTTGAAATTAGTTCGGTTTTTTTATTAAGTAGCTCTTCGGGATATTTAGCTTTTCATACAAACAGAGTAAGCATATATTTGTTGTGTTGTTAAGGCAAGCCATTTTTTAAAATTTTAGATCAAGTTTTTCCTTTGAATTTAAATTTAAGTTGGTGTTGGTATAAATACAAATTCAAACAAATACCTGAGTTAAATGGTCTATCCTAAATAATGTCCCTTGTTACAGCAACACAACAAAAAAAGTACTCTGTATGAAATATCTGTTTAGTCCAAATAATATATTATGTATGCTGGAGAGCTGGTGAGTAGAAAAAACCGAGCTAATATCTAAATGAAAAACAAAAAAAAAAGTTTTGACACACACCCAAATTAGGGTCATTATTCTTTTGTTGTCAGTTTACAAAAACATTTAACTTAACATTTTAACATTAGGTATTAATAATTTGTCTACCAAATCAATAGTTTTTTTCCACAACAACACCATAGCAACAAATATATAAATAAAACAAAGCAATAAAAAGTTTGCAAAATGATTTTATTTTCAATAACAATGTAAAAGAGTTGAAACCTTTACCTTTTGTTCTTCATAGTAATAAAACTCATTCGAGAGAAGGTTTTTTATTCATCGTGTTTTAGTTTTTTGAAATTTTATCATATGTGATACTAATCATATAATACATTAATATATTATATTATATATAGCGTATTAAAATTTTATCATATAATATATTATACGTGTTTGGATCGCTTAACGTTTTTGTATTTGCTAGTTGATTATGCACTCTTTCTAAAATATTCTTTCATTCTCATTTACTTTCTCTCAAGCGTATGTATTTTGTTATAAGTTTAAAATTTTATCCTTTTATAAAATGACTGGCATATTTTGAATAACTATTTCACAAATATTTAGTTATTTTTACTTATTATTTGGCTAATTAAGGCAAAGATTTTCAAGCGAGAAAACATTTTAAACAAAATTAATAAGGTGGCATAGCAATAGTTTTACGTGACGTAGTTTCTTTTGTATATAAATATATTTAACGGCAAAAAATCTTATACTTTACTTGATGATTGTAAATAGCATGAAATTATTAGTGTACTATAAGACAATTGTGGGGGCAACTGATTAAATGCAAATTTTATAAAAGCGAATCTACAAAAGTGAGAACTGGCTATACGTGCGTACTGGAATAACTGCAAGCTTGCATATGTGTGAATTGGCATTAGTGTAAAGGACTTGCAAAAACTGTCATATATGCAAATTGGCTTAAGTGCGCTAAAAGAATTTGTAAACATTGGCATAAGCGCAAATGGGCATAAGTGCGAAATCTCATAAGTGCGAAGCAGCATAAACTAGCATAAGTGCGAGCTAGCATAAGTGCGCCGAACAGATGATGCAATTAGGCCGTAAATTCAGCATACTTCATTAGGACAAGATTATTATAAAACAAATTGATAAATTTAAAATGCCTTAAATTAAGTCTGTTACCACAAATTTATTATACGCAATTACAATGAGTTTATTACACGTATTAAGGGCGTTGCAAACGCCTATTATTAACATTTTAAGTGAAGAAAAAAGATATTTTGGCCATTGTTTTTTTAACAAATCTTTATATCAAAAACTTGGGCGGACACTGCATTTAACCACCCCCTCCCCCATTTTCTAAATAGTTTTAAAAAGGCTTTTATGATAGCAACAGCGGAATTATCATTTTCCAGTCTGCAATGGCTCACAATTAAACATCATCATGGAAAAGTATACCCATGAAAATGTTTAAGATACTATCGCATACTCTTTTTTAAATGAAAATGCAAAAGATGACTAATCACGTTAAAAAGATGAATAATCACGTTGCGTGTGATAAATAGTTGAATAAATAGATCATTTTTATCTATTTTGCTGTATCATACAAAATGGAGGAACTTTTTCCTTTTTAACATATATTTTCAGCCCCCCCCCCCCCCCTCTTTCGCGAGCTTTCTACGCCACTGTATGTATGTTTACAAGCGCTGTTTAGGTACGCATGCGTGAGAAAATACGAAAATTTTTTGAATTTTTAAAATGGCTACGGTTCTTAACTACATATTATATTTTATATGGCAACCGTGTTATTTGTTATTTGATCTCTAAAAACTTAATGTTGTAGCCTTATTTTTATGTAGATCAGTATATTATTACAAAATTTTCACAAAAATATATATATAAAAGGATTAAAAATATCTTAGAGTACTTAAACTTTATTTTTTTTACTTTAATTAACAACTTTTTAGTGTAACTCATAGATTTGTTTATTTATTTGAAATCAATTCTCTTAAAATCTGACTATAGGATTTCAATATTTTTTTTTTTAAACTTTAGATAAATATGTTCTATATTTATAATATTTTTCTGGTGATTGCTTCAACTTTTTTTCAATATAAAAATTTGTTTTAACTGTTATGACTATTTACTAATATATATATATATATATATATATATATATATATATATATATATATATATATATATATATATATATATATATATATATATATATATATATATATATATATATATATATATATATATATATATATATATATATATATATATATATATATATATATATATATATATATATATATATATATATATATATATATATATATATATATAATATATATATATATATATATATATATATATATTTATATATATATATATATATATATATATATATATATATATATATATATATATATATATATATATATAAATGATAAAAAATATCTTAGAGTACTTAAACTTTATTTTCAATCAACAACTTTTTAGTGTAACTCATAGATTTGTTTACTTATTTGAAATCAATTTTCTTAAAATCTGACTGTAGGATTTTAATAATTTTTTTTTAAAACTTCAGATAAATATGTTCTATATTTATGATATTTTTCTGGTGATTGCTTCAACTTTTTTTCAATATAAAAATTTGTTTTAACCGTTATGACTATTTGCTAATATATATATATATATATATATATATATATATATATATATATATATATATATATATATATATATATATATATATATATATATATATATATATATATATATATATATATATATATATACATACATACATACACACATATATGTATGTATACATATATGTGTGTATGTATACATACATATATGTGTGTATACATACACACATATATGTATGTAAACATACCTACTAATGTGTTTTATATGATAAAAAAACACTGGTTTTAAGATTTTATTGAAGAAAAATCATTTTTGGAGTCTCTTAAACATATAAAGAGTTCCTAATATTATCAATTAAAAAAATCTTCAAAAGTGTATCTTGACATAAAATTCTTTGCAAGTAATATAAAAAAGTAAGTGATTAAAGACCTGCTTGTTATGATGCAAGTATTTATTTTTTTTAACTGTATTAGTGCATATATTTGCATATATAAACTGTTTAAATGCATATATTTGCATATTTAAAAAATAGGTTAAAAAATATGTTAGATTTAACACCACAAAAAATGAATTTTATTAACTAAAAAAGAAAAATGTCCATTATTACCAATTTTTGGCAATATTTTTTTTGAAATTTTCATATAATTTTGCTTCGCTTGAGACCCATTATGATATAATTTATACATAATACTTATGATATGACCATTATGATATAATTTATACATAATACACTTATAATTTTGTTTTTTAATAATTATTAGGAACTTGTTATGTTCCTAATAATTACAAAAAAAAATTAGGGTCTTAAGGGAGTCATCAAAATATTTATTTTTCAAAAATTTTTAAAAACCAGTTGTTTTTTATTATGTGAAACACATTATGCTGTTCAAAAAAATTTTTTTTGGGAGAATACTATTAAATGATAATATTTTTTTTAACTTTAGATAAATATGTTTTATATTGATGATATTTTTCTTGCTATTGCTTTAACTTTATTTCAATATAAAAACTTACTTTTACTGTTATGACTTTTTCCTAATATATTGAAGTGTTTTTTTACTTTATTATTTTTGTTAATATATATATATATATATATATATATATATATATATATATATATATATATATATATATATATATATATATATATATATATATATATATATATATATATATATACATACATACAATGTTCTCAAAGAACAAAACAATGATAAATTTGTAAAAAAGTATACCAATTCAAATTCTTCAGATGGCAATCAAATAATATAGAAGTATAGTAGCACTTATATTTATTATTATTGCTTTTCAAAAATAAATTTAAGAACTAACTTCAACCATAATGTCCTATAATAAAAATGCTTCCACTTCTAAAAGAAACAAGACAATTTAGATAAAGAATTTTGTACAATTTTATGAGTCACATAAAATCGTACAAAATTCTTTTGGGAACACGGAAAAATAAGAACTCTTCTACTTGAATGACAACCACTGGAAGATATTAGCAGGATACCACTAAAAATCCAAATTCTTGGTCGCTATCTATTCATGGGAAAATCTTGGTCGCTATCAGTTCATGGGAGAATCAATTAGAGGGATACAAAAACACTTAAAAAAAATTGAGAAAGAAGTAACAAGTTTATGACAAAATAACTAAATTTTCCATATTTATGAATTCAGTTAAAGGTAAAACCGGATCAAATGCTGAAGACGTACAATAAATGCGTAAAGCAAAGAAAATACGATCAATTGATTAAAGTTTTTGACATTAAAAAAAAAGATAATGAATAGCTCTGCAGTGATGACAAAAAATTGTATCATCTTCAGATTGAAAGCAAAGGATTGGTCGGGTATACAATTAGGAAAGCTGCTAGTTCAAAAACTACCCATCCATCCAAAATAGGAAAAATGTCCTTAAAGCCTACTTCAACAACAGTAACGGCAACAACTTTAGAATCCGAGTCTCAGGCGGAATATCAAGAGTGCGAAGATTCAAAAGAACGGTCCAATAATTGCTCTTTTGGCATTTATTCTTCTATTAGAGAAAAGAGACTGTTCGACATTTCTATACTCATCTTACAGATAAATGAACCATTGGTTTACTAATCAAATGTACAATGCAGATGATTATTGGAAGCTATGTAGCAGACTGTACGGTCACGAAAAAGTGTTAAACTAAATAAAAAATGTTTTGGAATCTGGAACCATCGAGACTGGAAATTCTCAGAACATATCAGTGTGCAAAAAGAACAATCAAGTGTCTTCAGGATCTTTTTGACTTCTGTTAAAAGAAAGAGAACCTCCAGCTTAAATTTATTTTATCTAACAAAGCATAAAAATAGTATATTATGCTTTAATTAAGCTGAGTACTACACAACATTATTTCGATGTTAGGGTAGAGCGGGGTTGGTTGTCACACTTTTTACATTTTAGACTGTTCAGCTTTTATCTTTCATCAAATCAATGCCAAACTCAAAAACAAATGGACGAACTCAAAAACTTTGCACGAACGTAACTTAACTATTTACGCTAACTATTACAATATTTTTATGACATTGAGTGAAATATTTTTTGCCGTGAAATCATTTATCAAAGACCTCTTCCGTGTGAAAACCAACCTTACCCACTTTTTATTTTTTTATTTTTTTTTTCATCATTTGACACATTTTACAATGTTAACCTTACATTCAAATAAATTTATACAAATGCAAGCTGACTGGGGCAAGTAGAAGACAAAATGTCTTATCATCAAGCCCCTTCGTGAAAATAAAAAAAATAAAAAAATTTTACAATTTCCAATAATATATAAAAGAGTGAAACTAAAAAAAGTTAAAAAAAAAACAAATTAAAAAGTTTGAAAAAATCAAAAAGTTGAAAAAATAATTTTTAAGTTTGACAAAACTAAAAAGTTTGAAAATGATAAAGAATAAAAAAAATTTGAAAAAATAATTTACAAATCCGTACATATGCGTATACATATCCAATAAACTTCATAATATATATTTAAATATACAAAAGATATTTTGAATTAAAAAAGATTCCGAACATTTTATATATTTAAGTTCATCTACTCATATTTTTTTTTAAACAAAATTAAAACAGACAAACAAAAAGAAACAAGAAGAATATATATAAGAAGGATATATGTATATATATACATATACACACATACATAGTGATTGGAAGGAAATTGAATCAGCTTAAAAGAAAAACAACATTCCGATATCACGATCGATATAACTAGTAAATAGCGTCAATATGGCTATAACGAACTAAATAACAATTATGTGGCGACTATTTGAACAATAGTATTTTTGTTATTGAACGAAATTTTTGTATAAATAGAGTTTTGTTGTTGTTGTTTTTAAGATACAAAAATATAAAAAATATAAGTATATAGTAAATGTAAAAAACGGTTAAGATCTTAAAAATATAAGTTATAATACATATTCGGTATTATTTGTGATCGCCATCGGATCATAATTGGTAGCAGAGGGTAGTTTCTTCAACACGGAAGAATAGTAAGAAGAAAAAATCAAAAATCAAGTCTTCGTTTACGCGAACTAAACATCAAATTATTCAACAAATTGGAGAGGATGAACCCACTTGTAAAAATGAGTTACGCGAATTGAGTAATCAATTAACAAAGACTCAAAACGAAGCTCTCGAGATAATGGTTGAATTATCAAAGAAATACGAACTTCTGGAATCAAAAGAAAATGTAGGAAAACTCAATACAGAAATTGAAAAACTAAACGACGAATTTGCGGAAATTATGGAACATGTAAATGAATGGATATTGCGCAATGGAAGTTAAAATCAAGTTTAAAACAACAAAGGATGGTAAAAGAACTTAAAATGGAAACAAAAAAGCAATGTTATCAATGGTTAAGTACTCAAAAAAGTAATGAACAGTATGATGAAGATAATAAAGAAGAAAATGGGAATAGCGAAATGGAACCAATCAAATCAACGCATATCATGCGTAAAATGGAAAATGAAATAATTGATTTGGATCAAAAGACTGCAATAATTGGACATGATTTATGGAAACAACTCAAACGCGTTTCTATACCAATATTTAATGGTGATAAAAAGAACTATGAAAATTGGAAAGCTTCATTCTACGCATGCATTGATCAAGCCCCAGCGACATCTGAGTATAAATTACTTCAGTCACGTCAATATTTATGTGGAGACGCATTAAAAGCAACTGAAGGACTTGGGCATTCGTCATTCGCTTATGAAGCTGCGAAAGAAAGACTTGAAAAAAAATATGGCGGAACAAGGAAAAAAATTCTTATGTATTTGGATGAATTGAACAACTTTAAACCTATGAGGGAAAATAATCCAAAAGACGTTGAAAAGTTTGCGGATTTGTTGGATGTGGCAGTAACAAACTTAAAAGAAGCAAATCGAACAGAAGAACTTGGCGATGGGACATTGTACCATCAATTGCAAAAAAAAAAGTTCCTGAGATAATGTTAATTAGATACAAACGATGGGTGTATGAAAAAAAGTTAAACGAAAATGTTAAAACTCTAAAAAAGTTTATTGTTGAAGAAACAGATTTTCAAATTGCAACAACCGAAACTCTATATTGTTTAAAAAAAACTATTGGTAGCAAAGCACACGAAGGAAATTCTTACTTTGGTAACAGTGATCAAAAAAAGAAAATAAATTGGATACAGAAATGTTCTGTTTGCAAAAACAATCATAAAATATAGGAGTGTCCAACGTTTCAAAATCAAAATATTAAAGAAAGATGGGAGACAGCTAACAAAAATAAACTCTGCTTTAGATGCTTGAATTCTAACCATTCGTCAAAAGAATGCAGGAACAGAAGAATTTGTGGGATTGATGGCTGTACAGATACCCATAATCGTTTGCTTCACAAGAAAAGTCATAAAAAAGAAACAATTTCTGAAGACTACAAAGAAAAAGACACGATATTAGAAAATTCTCATACGTCAAACATCCAATTTCATTCAAATCACGTCATGAACTACATATCTCTTAGAACGGTGCCAGTTATTCTTCGTAATGGATATAAAAAAGTTGTGGTAAACGCATTGCTTGACGATGGAAGTACCAAAGTACCAAGACATAAAAAGTAACTGTAAACACGATAAATGGAAAAATTGATTCTTTTGAAACGATGCCGGTAGAATTTCAGTTGGAATCGTTGAATGGAGAAACAAAAATTACAGTGGAAGCTTTTACAGTTAATAATGTAACTGGAAACTTAAAAGCAGTTAATTGGGCAAGTATGTCAAAAAGTTGGAAACATCTAAGAAAAATCGAATTCCCAAATATTGGACCAAAACCAAAAATTGACATTCTAATCGGTGTGGATTACGCTGAGCTGCACTGTGCAATTGAGGAAGTAAAAGGAGGATTTAATGAACCAGTGGCTCGACTCACGCCGCTCGGATGGACATGTGTTGGTGGTACTGGTGGATCTCTTCAAACCCATTTTACGAAAATAACATCTAGTACAAAGGAAATAGAAGATGCAAATAACACCATTAAAAAATTATGGTGTTATTTGCATCTAATTCGCTAAAAACTGAGAACGGAAGATATGAGCTAAAATTACCATGAAAAGGTAATAGACATTTGGACAATAATTAAACAATGGCGTTAAACAGATTACAAAATACGGAAAAACGGCTAATGAAAAACAAAAGTCTAGGAGAAGAGTACAATAATATTATTAAGCAGTATCAAGAAAAGGGATACTTGGAGAAAATCAATAAAAGGGATCTTGGAGATGGTTGGTACTTACCACATTTTCCAATTCTTCGTCCTGATAAATCAACTGCAAAAGTCAGAATTGTGTTTGATGGATCTGCAAAATATAATGGTAAATCAAATAATGATGTTATTTATCAAGGTCCAAAACTTCAACAAGACCTTGTGACTGTTTTGCTGAGATTTCGAAAATACCCAGTGGCTTTAGCTTGTGATATAGCAGAAATGTATTTAAAAATTGGAATACATAAAGATGACCAAAGGTACCAACGAATTTTATGGAGAAACCTAGATTCAACTGCCGAGCCTGAGGTATTTCAGTTTAATCGGCTCGTATTTGGAATCAACTCAGCGCCCTTTATGGCTCAATTTGTAACGCAAGAACACGCAGGAAAGTATGCAAAAAAATTTCCTTTGGCTTCTGAAGCTGTTCTTGAAGCAACTTACAAGGACGACACAATAACTTCTGTAGTTGATGAAAAAGTAGGAATTCAATTATACAAGGAACTCACGCTACTATGGGGTTCAGCAGGAATGTTTGCACAAAAGTGGCTTTCAAACTCGGTTGAAGTTCTTAAAATAACACCAGAAAATGATCGTGCAGAACATATAAATTTAGATTCTGGAAAATTGCCTGCAATGAAAACACTTGGAGTTGTCTGGAAAGCAAAACCTGATTTATTTAGTTTTCGTTCTGTAACAACCGAAGAAAATACGGTATATACAAAACGAATTTTGCTTAAAAAAATGGCAACGTTGTTTGATCCATTAGTTTTTTGGCACCATATATCATTCGAATCAAAATAATTATGCAGGAACTGTGGATTGATGGAATTGAGTGGGATGATGCAGTTCCGGATAGGATTGCAAATAATGTTGATCAATGGTTTCAAGAACTAAACGATCTCCCAAAGCGTCTTCTAAAGCTTACGGTGCTGTTGCTTACCAACAATGTTTATATGATACAGGAGAAGTGACCTGTGTGATCATAATGTCAAAAGCCCGAGTAAGTCCATTGCAATCTATTAGTATACCAAGACTTGAGTTACTTGGAGCTGTCCTCGGTTTACGACTTGCAGAGAAGATTGTCAAGGCATTGAAGCTGGAAACTAAGGACGTAACTATATGATGTGATAGTCTTAATGTTTTATGGTGGATAAAAAATCAAAGTCGAAAGTTGAAACCATTTGTTGCCAACCGTGTTGGATTCATTCAATCAAAAACTGAGCTAAAACAATGGAGATACATACCAACAAAAACTAATGTAGCTGATTTACTAACAAGAGGAACAACAGTTAAAGAATTAGAAAGCAATTATGTATGGTGCCATGGACCAAGTTTCCTTAATTCTTTAGAAGAAAAATGGCCACAGAATCACATTGAAGTTACACAAGAGGCTTCAATTGAAGTGAAGAAAAATTCAGTATTAATGAATTTTGCATTATCCACTGAAGTAACAAAGCAATTGCTTGATATAAACAAGTTCTCATGTTGGAAAAAACTTGTCAGGATAAACGGCTGGATCCATCGGTTTATAGGAAATTGTTGATTTGAAACAGACTTTCGTAAAAAGGGTGATATAGCAGCTGATGAATATCATGAAAGCGAAAAAGAAATCATAGCTAAAGCTCAAAAAGAAAGCTTTAAAGAAGAATATAGCAACATTGAAAAAGGAAAACCGATATCGATATCAAGCAAAATTATTTCTTTAAATCCGCAAATTGACGAAGACGGATTATTGCGATCTTGCAGTCGATTGCAAAATCCCCATTACTTACCCTACGATGTCAAGTATCCAATCATTTTGCCGAGAGGACATACAATAACAAAGTTGATTGTCAAGTATTACCATGACGAAGCCAATCATGTGATGGGAACAAATCAATTATTAACAAAACTATCAGAACGATATTGGGTAATACGAGGACGAAAAGAAATCCGAGATGCAGAAGCAAAATGCAACAAATGTAAATTAAGAAGATGTAAACCTGCTCAACAGCTAATGGCCCCTTTACCAGCAATGCGCTTTAAAGAACCACTACGTGCGCTTGCTAGAATTGGTATCGATTTTGCTGGTCCATTTCTTACTATGCTAGTTTTTTGTTTTTTCAATATTCAAAGAAAGTTTATTTGCTATAAACCACTCATTGAGATATGTTAGTTCAGTGTTTACATTACAAAAAATATTTTTTAAATTTGAATTAGAATAGAAAACATTAGTGTCGTCAGCAAAAATAATATAATTAAGTATTTTTGATGACAAATTAATATCATTAATATAAATTAACAACAGTAAAGGTCCAAGTATTGATCCTTGTGGAACTTCACAACTTATTGACTCAAATGGGGAGCATGTTAAATCAAATGGTACTACTTGTTTACGATTTTCTAAATAACATTGCAGCCACTTTAAGTTAGAGTGAGCTACTCCGTAATTACATAGTTTGTTGATAAGAATCTTGTGGTTGATAGTATCAAAGGCTTTGGATAGATCTAGAAATATTCCGAAACGTTGGTTGTCACATTTCTTGGTATGTTTTGATTATATTTAAAACTAGTACCAATACATTTTGTTAATATAATACAAAGAATAAATCTGAATAATTTGGAAAAAAAAAGGCTACATACTGAAAAAAAGAAAATACTATACACCGAAAAATGTTTTTTTTTTTTTTTAATAAAACACTATAAACACATTTAGTTTAGGACTATATAAGTGTTTTTACAAATTTTTGGATGAAGAACACAATTCACATATAAATTGTTGTAAGCCTAATGTGTATTCTTCATGAGTCCATTTTTGGCAACCCTGACATTTTTGAGGCAAATATGACAACCATCCCCATATATTTTGTGATAGGCAACCCGTTCTTTGTAAGTTGCAAGACACCTGTAAATATGCCTAAAAGCGCGTGAATTTCATGAGAGTTTTTATGGATTAAGTTGCTCAAATGAATAAAAAACTTTCAAAATGTACATTCAAAGCACAATAAAATAATTTTTGTTTGGTGAAAGAAAATTTCTAAGTTAGCGAAATTTAACTTTTTCATATCAAAAACCTATAAAAACGAATAACTTTTTTTCTACACGCTAAAAAAAAGCTGAAAATTACAGTGAAAATATTTTTTTATATATAACATTTCCATTGTATGATTTTAAAGTTCTAAACCTTATCTACATTTCCTGTAATAAACTTTGTGACAACCAACCCGCGTGACAAACAACCCCGCTCTCCCCTGCAGTAGCTTTCCGACAGCTACTCTACTTCACAGCTCTTATTGGTATTTTTATAGAGTAAACAGATTATTTTTTCATGCAAACAGAGTAAGTATTTAAAAATAGTCCATCCTAAAAAATGCCTACAACAGCACAACAACACAACAATAAATGCTACAACAACACAACAATACAACAACACAACAACAAAAATATGCTTACTCTGTATGTTTAAACCTAACAGGTTCATGTTTTTTATTTTACTTGTCTTACGTTAAGAGTATATTCATATAGAATTATATAGTATTTAAAAGTGTTTGAATATTTAATATTTGTTTGATATTATTTATTATTTATATTTTACTGAATTACATTTATAAAATACAAAAAATAACATAATATATTTACAAAAATGTTTTTCGACACCAAATATCTTCGTGAAATATAAGGCCACATAAAAAATCTTGCCAAAATAAAACCATGCAGAAAAACTTATTAGCATAAAATGTCAGTAAAAATAAAAAACAATCTTTACCTTTTAATTTATGTGTAAAAGAACATTAAATAAATAGTTATTAAACAAAAATAAACAAGAAAGGTTAACACATTTGTGCATTCAAAAATAACATTATATCTACTTATCAAAGCGGGGATTCATAGCATAGATGTAAGGAAATATCAATTGCTCATAACAATAATAGTACTCGTTTATGCCAGGTTTCATTTTGGTTTTAGTTTTTTAAAACAATATTGCTTTGTTTTTTGTTTTGTTTAAAACAGCTTAAATTATGTTTTTTTTTATTGCTAATCAATCGAGTTATACGTGTAAACTTTTTTGTCAGCTTCTTTATCCTGTCAGAATTTAACTAAATATGCGGCAAAAAAAAGCACTGAATAATGCCTTCATACCATAAAAAATACTATTAAAATAGAGCTGAGAAATGCGTAAGGAGGTTTTTTAAAAGTGATCAAGAAATACATAATAGGCGGGATGTTGAAAAATAGCAATTTTTAGCAAGTCATAATATTGTTAATGCTACGAAGTAAAATAAAGATGCTAGCTTACTTTTTACGAAAAATTTTTTTTTAATTATTTTTCAACAGCGTTTTAAGGTGAGTTTCCACTCATCCATTTTTTCACGGGAACGGGAAAAGGATCAAAAAAACAATCACGTGAGCATGCGTAGTTTTCCTTTGGACATATTAAAACTTATTCTACGCATGCCCACGTGATTATTTTTTTCCTTCCCTATCCCGTTCCCGTGAAAAAACGGATGAGTGGAAACTCACCTTAAGGCTAGTTGCAACTCATTTTATAAAACTTTGCTTTTTTGTATTTACTATAAGTTAAGTTTTTTTTAAAAAAAATTGTAAAGGGTAATAAAAAAGGTCTTAGTGACATATTAATCCAACATTGATAGAAATAATACTAAAGTTAATCATCCCACAATGGTCAAAATAAAATGAAAAAAAAAATGTTACAATTTACCCCGCTCTGAGGCAAGTTGCAACAATGAACTTGCAAGACAATACTTTTAAAGTATAAATCATGCAGAGAACTAAAAAAATTATTAGTTACTTTGTAATTAATTTATATTATTTCACATAAATTTTATACTCTAAATAAGAAAAAAGGTGAAAGTACTTCTGAGTCTACAGAAATAGAAATATCTCTCAGAACTTTCTTTGAGCTACAATACTTTTATTGTTAAACTTCGTATGGATCTGAATTTGTTTGCTGAATTTATGATTACGTTACACTATAAACAATTTTTGTAAACAACTTCATCTATATTATAACTCGATTATTTTAAAAAAGTGTTTAAACCCGAAGATTCAACTTAACTTTATGTTACAACTTACCCCGTAGCCATTATGATCACTTTAATCAATATATGTAACTATGTACTTTAAATTAATCTATATATGTAACTATGTACTTTAATTAATTTAAACTTTTTGTGCTTGAAAAGTAGGTCTGCAAAATTTGAAGGAAAAACAAATAGGTCTGCAAAAAAAAAAAGGTTTAGGATATTATTCCTTGTGTTTTCTCTATGCAACAGCTACTCCAACAGGCTTAATTATTAAGTCTTAAAATTGTTGCTTAATGAAACACAAATCTGCATTGTGTTTCATTAAGCAACAACAGTCTTTTTGATATAACTCAGGAACTAAATGTATTCTTTGCTGCATCTAAACGTTGATGAGATATACTAAAACATCAAAGAGCATTTTTGACTATTAAAAAAGTGAGTGATACTTGATGTTTAAACAGAATTGATGCTTTAACTCCCATCAAGTACAAGTTATCACATTTGTACGACGCATTTTTTATATTTTCTGAAGGTTTAAATTTAAAAGGTCCTTTAGGTACCAGCCTTCTAAAGAGCATATCTTCATTCAGGTTTGTTGTGACAGCTGTAACATAGCAATAGTTGTAACATAGCATAAAGTATTGTTTCATATCAGTTTTACAAGTAAACTGCTGCAAGAAAAACACTTTGATATTAAGAATCATTAAATGAGCTTAAAAATTACAAAGAAGTATTTAAACAACATGAACAATGACATTGAATTTGAGAGAGTTTTGGTTAATACTTAAGAGATCGCTGAAAAAAAATATTATCGAGGCAATTTTCCAGCAAGACATAAAGATAAAAAAAGAAAACTTTGTTAAGTTCTTAGGATTAATAAGATAAACCGCTCAATAATCCTAGAGAGAAGTTCAAAGTTAACTTTTTCTTTGCAATATTGAAGGAGCGTCTCGCGCAATCGAAAGATATTACAAAATTATTTGTTTTTCTATATAATATACTAATATCATATAAAAAAACAAATAACTTTAGCCCCAAGATGAAAAGCTCAAAAGAACTTTGGAATGGTTTTTTGAATTAATTTAGAAAAACCACTTCTACGCGTAATACTTACTACACGCAATCTTAAAAAATCCCATTTTTTCAAAAGGACAATGACGTTACAGCTCTCTTCTCCAAACTTTCAGGATTAACTTATCGTTGTACAAAAAGAATGCAAACCCAGAAAATGTACTAAACTATCTGTGCCAAAAAAAGTTAGAAAATTTCTAAATATTTTTGTAGCCCTTCGTTTTCTATTGACTTAACTGATATTCGATATATTGATCTATGCAGTTCCATGAACCAAGAGACTTGTAGGACTTGCAGGACTTGCCACAGTTTTGAGAAAAAAAGACGAAATTTAAAAAGAAATCAAATTTCTCTACCAACGGTTTGTTTTGGTTTGCCTTCTAAGGTTTTATCCTTTGTGCTTTAATAATAGGTACATTTTATATGGTGTTGGTTTTTTTCAATTTAAATAGTGGAACCAAAAACAACAGTAAAAAAACATGTAAAATTAGTTAGAAAAAATTTATAAGTTAGAGAGACTTTAATAAAGCAACACAGATTGAAGTGATACTAAGTTAGTCTCCCCTCAGTTAATCGGCGGTTTCCTATAACCTGTAAAACCGAGTCCATTAAATTGACAAGAATAGTCCAGTGAAAAAGGCAGGGTGCATAAACTAAAATGTTGCTACTTATATAAATGACAATCAAATAAAACATTGCTTCAATCTTACTGGTATTGCAACAAACTTATAACCATATTTAAAAAAACGTTATATTCTCCAATTTTTTTCATTTAACTATCCTTATAATTTTGGAACAAGACAGGACAAAAACAAAAAAAAACAGAACAAAAACAGAAAAAAGATTAGATTAATGCTATATTTTTTTTTACAATTTTTGTAAAAAAAAAAAAAAAAAAACTTTAGTTTTTAGAGAAGAAAAGTAAATATATATATAAATATAATATAAAACTTAAGTGCATGAAAAAGATTCCAGGAGGTAAGAGAAGAAAAGTTTTAGCAGCAAGATATTTAATATGCTGTATGTGAACATATCATATTTATAGAGCTTATATGTGAACATATCATATTTATAGAGCTTATAAACATGTCATATTTATAGAGCTTATAAAGCATATAGAGCAGCCGCGACTTATTGGTAGTGCACTTGCCTCAGAAACAAAGGATTTGTGGATCGAACCCTATATCTGGGTAAGTTTTCTAACATCGCTTAGGTAGGAGACGTGAACTTCCTATTAAATGCTCTTTCGTGGTGCTTTGTGATAAGACCGTAAGACTTCTTGGGGGGAACCGAAATAAAATAGAATTTAAAAAAATATATTTGATTTGATTTAATTTATAATAAATCCAAAAAATAAATAGGGCTTTGACAGCGTGCCCCCAAAATATAAAATAAATATGCTAGAAAGGTTAAAAAATTAAGAAATAAAGTACAATTATGAGAAAAAACGAAAACTGTTACTCGAGATGCAGTTGGCAGGAACAATTATTTTCAAAGTTGATGGGGACAAAACTTAAGTTTATGACCTCAGTATAAATATAATAATTAACTAAAAATAAATTCGATATATAAAGACAAACTAAGTTGTCCAGAATTTTGTAAAATTTTTTTTGTAATACATTAAGCCTTGCTTTTGTTTTGCTTTAGACGACGAATTTCGAGTATTGAAAGTCTGTTAAAATATGATAAATTATTAAATCGGTTTTTTAGTAAAACGTCTAGTTTTTTAGTTGAACGTCTCTGGACTTTTTTGACTGTATTTATTAACTTAGTTCACTGTGGTAACTCGACCGGAGAGCAATGTTTTAAAATAGGTCTTATGTAAGTAAAAGTTTTGACGAGAACTTGTCGACTTTTAAAAAATTGAAGTATTAAGTATGCTCGGATGGTTGCTGCACGGACAACATTTGAATTAAGACGTAATTTACTTTAAAATGCTCACAATCCGCAGAGTGGCAAAAAAAATGTTAGCAAATCTTGATATAAAGCTTATGTAGAAAATGGAAAATCAAAATCTTTTCAACTAAACATGTGAATGAAAACATTTATGAAAGTCTACTAAAAAAAGTCTTGCATTTACAAACAGACCAAACGTAAAAGGTTGGAAAAAGCAAGATCTATTTCCAAATAAATACGTTTTTCAAGTTTATATTTAAAAAACAAAAAAAAGATATGTTGAAAGACATTCTGCCATAAATAGTCTGCTTCGCTCTTCCACCCTTCATGTCTAAGACACAGATTGTTCAACTACCTATCACTCTAGCCTAACTTGCAGAGAAATTACTGATAAAAAAAGAGCAGAAATAATAAGTATTGAGAAGATGACAAACTACAGCGCAGTTCAACATCAAAAGTACTACAACAATATTAGGATAAGTAATATAAGTAATCATAAGTAATATGTTTATTAAAAATTAATAAACATATTACTTATGATTTATCCAACCTTCTTCAATGGCTGTACTCTAACAAACTTAGTCTTAAATGCCAACAAAACTGAACTCATTATTTTCAAATCAAGTTAATCTAATATGTATAAAAACCTAAACTTTAGAATAAGTGGTCGAAAATCTTTCCCGTAGTTTTATTACAAATCTTGGAACCCAAATTGACTCAAATCTATCGTTTTCCTTTCATAATAAAAACTTAGCAGTGAAATTGTGTAGATCAAATGGGATGCTAGCCAAAACTCGCCACTATGTCAATTAAAAAACTTTACTTAATATATACCATGCTATTTTTGGCATAGTATATATTAAGTAAAGTGGTTTTATCACATTACTTAGATATGTTAGATATGCTTGTCAGGTTTGGGGACAAAGCAAATGTAGTACTTTTTTTTAGATTATCTAACCTACAAAACATGGATTTAGAAATAATATTCTTTCAACAATATAATTCTAATTCTGACATACTTTACTTTCTATCAAAAATACTCAAATTATGTGATCTTATTTATCTATTAAATTGTTTGTTTTTCTGGAATCATAAACAAGTAAATCTACCGTTAAAAATCCGTTAAACCTTCGATCTTTTAGAAACTTTAAATTATCTATCCAAATCGCTGTACGGTAAAATACGGTGATAACTCTATTACAAACCAATGCGTAAAAACGTGGAATATTTTATCTCTTCATTTTCAATCACTCAACTCTAATTCACAATTTAAAAACCGTCTTTTTGACAATTTGTTAGAAAAATACTGTAATTAAAATGTTAGACTCATAATAGATTGTTATTACTATTGTTATTATAGCTATTATTATTATTATATGTAAAGTTAATATTACTTAGACTTTATACACATATTTATTACCGTCATGCAAACAGTTCTGTCACTTAAAGTTGACTGGCAGAAAAACAAACTTAAAAAAGGCCATTTTGCACTGAGATTCATAACTTATTCATTTATACATGGCTCATAATGAAGAATGTAGCAGTTCTTATAAACGTTTCTCATAATGGGATTATTTATGTATTATGTATCTTATTGTTGTTTTCCAAGAAATAAACTTAAATTTTATTTGCAGGCTGAAACTTATTGGTGTATCTTTATTTAAAGATTCAACAGGTAATGTTCAACGTGATGCGGGCGTGAATCTCGCGCAAGATTGAAAAATTTTAGAAAACATTGGGTTATGCTTTGATACAACAGTCAGCAACAAAAATAATAAAAAAGGAGCAGCAAAATTAATTAAATTGAGTTACAGAGTCCTCTCCTCTGGCTAGCATGTCGCCATCATCATAACAAGCTACAAACCAAAAAGGCATTTGCCGAGGAGATAGCTAGAGTCCAGATGAACTTATTTTTAAACATTTCCAAGCCTAATTTTCAAGAATCTTGATTGTTCAAACTATACTTTTTTTGAGTGGCCTACTGACATCAAATCAGAAATATTTAATCAAGCAAGTTTATTTCTGAAATGGGCTTACAAATGCGTCGGCGAGAAAACATTTTCGCAAGAAGACTGTTAATTAAATTAACTCTTATCTACCTTAGGGGAAAACTATCAGTGAACAGAGTATTTAAAATTCACAAACCAGGTGCAATTCAAATTGCGATATTAATGGCAAATTCTATAAATATTTTAAAACTGAAAATCTTATCTGATAAACTTATTGTCTGATGATGAGCGAATCATGATCCACCGAATTGCTAAGCTTATAAGTTTTTTTAATTTGAGGCGATTTCTCCGCTCGAGGGTTTCCGCATTTGTTCCAATCAATGATTTCTTTTTTAACTTTTTGTAATTACCATTCTAAAACAATGTAATCTTTATTAAAAAATTACAATTAACGAATCATATCCCCTCACACAAAGTTAAGCAGCACCAATACTTTGTGAAATAAATATAGACAACATACAAACTGTGAGGGCTATTATGGACTTTTTTTTGCATTTGTTCATTATTTTGTACTTATACATTATTTTGTATCTGTAAATTATTTTGTGTAAAAAAAGAACAAAAAAACATATGATACAGTTGAGCAACTGTATTAAATGCTTTTTTTTATGTCAATAAACATTCCACACAAAAAGTGTTTATTGTCGAGGGCTTGCCAAAATTTCTCTGTTATTTCTACTATTGAATGAATTGTTGAGTGTTTTTTGTGAAAGTCATATCGATGTTTGTAATGACATTTATATTTATACAAAAACTTGGAACTCTGTGGAGTGTTGCTTTTTCAAACAGTTTACGTAAGTTTAAAAGAAGAGATATGGCTGGATAATTAGAGTAATCTAGAAGAGAACCCGTTTTGTTTTTGGGAATTACTTTCACTATCTTAAAAGCTTCAGGAAAAATGCTATTTTTCCAGAAGCTTTTAAGCTTTTTAATAACAAACAAAATTATTTAAAAATATGTATTTTCACATATATGTATACCACATTTACAGTTATGTTACGTATAATAGCATATTTACAATAAAATTTTTAAAAATGTATTTACCGCCCATTGATAGTAGAGTTAGCAAAAAGTAAAATTCCTAGCTGTCTTTGAGATCCCTCGTATCTTGCCATGGAGCCAATACATGTTTCATACTGTCGTTTACTTAGTGTTTTAAGACATAACTTTGGGTGCCAAACATGGAAAAGATTGGGATCTGGGGCTCTAATGACTTTATAGTTTTTTTTTAAATACCTGTTAAAAATTAAAATATTTTATGTTAAAAATAAATAATTGGTATTGATTATTAATTTTTCCGTTTTCTTTTTTCTTACCTATAATATAAGCTGACATCTTCTCCACCCCATCCTTGTATACGAAGATTGAATCCATGAACTGCTAAATAATCCGGTTTATAAGTACAAACCATTCCATAGCCCAAAGTTCTCCATATACCATTACTTTCTGAAACTTCAAAATATTTAGAGTTTGAATAGTTCTCTCCATTAAATACAATTTTTGGATTATACAAGCTAAACAAAATAGGAAAGTAAACAGATTTTCCCAAAACAGTCTGCTGGCGACATCTATTTAAAAATGATACATCAAACTTTATGTCTACATCACAGAAAAACATAAGAACGTTTTTATAACCGTTCCACCGTTGTATACCATCGTGCAGAGCGCGTCCTCGATTAAACGGAACGTTTTTCTTTAATATATCGTAACTTTTAAAGTTATTTTCTACACTAAACTTTTTCACAGTTTTTTTAATATCATTTTCATCTGCTCCATATATTACAATAGTTAAAAATATATTTTCTCCACTTTTAGCAATAATTCGAATATTTTCTAAAAATTCGTGCAGGCGTTGAGCTCGCCCAGACACTGGAACTATTATATTAATTAGTTCTTTGTTTTGACGAAAGGGTTCTTCTGTAAGCTCGCGTAAAATTTGAGGGCCAAACGGTTTTACAACCTCGACTAAAAATGAACGAGTTTTGTTATAAAGAAAGCTTATTTTATATTCGACGCCGTGTATTTCGTCATATTTCATCAACGCATTTTCAACATGGAAGTACTTCGATGGTAGTTTATTTATTTTTAAAATTTCTTTTAAGCTAAAGTTGACAGCTCGTTGAAAATCAATATTTCGGTGATAACTTTTTGATTTGGAATTTTGTTTTTCTAATTTATGCCAAGGAAAAGTTTCATAAAAATAGCCATTTGAAAAGGTCTGGTATAAAGAGTACTTTTCTGGCTTTGTTCTGTTTTTTACATCATTAGTAAAATAAATACTGCAATTTTCTACGGCAAACTTTTTTTTTTCTTGCTCGGCAAGATCATTGATTTGTTCTGTTATATTCAAATTTTGAAACACTGCAACTTGTTCTCGTAACTCTTGTGTAGTTTCCATATATATCCTTAAAATATCTGTCATTCTTTTTAAAGCCAAGCAGCAAGGACGAGATGGTCGTTCTACTGAATCGCGTAGATGAGGTGGAAAGGGCGTTGGTTCATTAGACCTTAAATAAAACGAATCTTTTTGTTTATTTTCATGCATTAAATTGTTTGAAAAGTTTTTTGCAACCAAAACCTCAGTGAGATTTGTTAAAGTGTTTGTCAACACTTTGTTGGTTGCGTTCAAATCTTGCACTAGAGTTCGCAAACTCGCAATTACCTTACCGCGGTATTTAAGCAGTTTGTCTTTTTCTTCAATTTCGCGTTGTAACTCTTGAAGCATACGTTTATTAAGTTCACAACTCCAACTTGAAAGATATGCTGAATCAGCAGAGTTTCGAGTTCTAACCACGGTGTTTGTGGTTATTTTTGTCTTCAGAACCATATGTAGTATTCCTAAGCATAATAACACTATAACTAATATTTTTAGTCCTAACCAGATTGTTGAACCAAAACCACTTCTCAATTTCAAGCAATTTAATCCACGCATTCGATAAATGTTACACAACGAAACAAGGGGCTTCACACCAAGTTGTCATAAACACAAAAATACTTTTGTTTATTTTTGTGCAGAACGCATACTTTAAGCATAATTATGTTTACTTACTTTGTTACTTGGAATAAATAAACAAAATAACGACATTTAAAATAAGTAGATTATATTGAAAATTTAAAAACATCTTAAAATTAAATTTGAAAATCTTATTTTTTATCTACTTACCTTACTGTTTTTATGAAAATAAATTTTCACATTCCGTGATAAAATTAAATACTGAAATGGACAACTTGACTTGTTAGAACAAGAGTTACTAACTTATTCATTTTCATTTCGCAGAAGAAAAAAATAAAAAAGTTTCTGCCATATTTTTTCTGAAACTTAAACTCTAAACATTTAACATTATTTAATATAAAAGTAAAAAGTGTTTAATTTAAAAGAACGTTTTAGTTCAATATATTGCTATAGTATAATATTGCTAATGTAATAAAATATTGCATTAAATAAATTTATTGCGACTTTCAAACTTTTTTATTAGCTCACCTAAGAGAACTTTTTTATTTTGAAAGAAGGAGAGCAGCAATGTCTTATGCTTCACTGGTTTTGCACAAAAATTATAAATTGTTTTTTTGCTGTAAAAACTACAATTTTTAAGTGGTTGTTACCTTTCTTTTACTGTTGTTTTTTTCTCGTTTTTTTGATTGAGTAGATTCGCCTAATTGCCATATAATTTCTTAGTAGATTATTGATTATGTAATACATCAGAATATTGATTTCCTTTCTCAAAAAATTGCAGAAAAAAATTATTTGCAGTTTATCTCTACTATTTTTAATGCGGCCTTTTAACAGTTTAGCGACCTGAAATCAAGTTAGTTTTGGGTTTTCGTATGTGGAGACATTAAAAACATCTTAAATTAAGACATTAAAAACATCTGTTTATTATATGTTTTTTTTTTAATGACTATTTTTGTTATTGTTTTTATAAATATACAAATTGTAATTAAAAATGTTTCTTATTATCATTCATTAATATTACTTTATCGATATGTCTTTCTCTGTTATTATCAGACATAATCTTTTCATAACTGAAACACCCTTTATTTCAACATTCGTTTGTTGGTAATATCCTAGATCTATGTTAAATTTAATTCAAAGCTAAAAATAGCACTATCTATAAGTAAAATTCCCTCCAAAGTTGGTGCCGGTATGCAAAAGAGCAATAAGGAGTTTTTAAACAATTTGCGGAAGGAAAAATTCTCAAGTGAAAATCACCAGAAATAACTTCATTTTTTTTTTATACAACATAAATATATAATATATATATATATATATATATATATATATATATATATAATATATATATATATATATATATATATATATATATATTGATTTATTTTGTAAAAATTATTTTTACATTATATTGATCACTCTCAAGTAAACAAGAGGATTTGTATCTCAACTAAATACAATAATAAACAACAATAAATTGCTCCGTTTGTTGAGCACTCTACTCAAGTTGTCTGCGAAATGGAAAAAACGAACTTGAATTATTCTGTCAAGAACATTCCAATTCCACCAATTAAAGAATACAAAAAACAATTAATCAGCAAAACCGAAGCATTAATAAAAAGAATGAAGTGGAAAGCGTTTTTCTTTATTAATGATAATCAGAATAGTAAGAACAATACCTTTTATAATAATAATTATGGAATAAAAATACCAAATTACCCAAAACAAACTACTGAAATGTGTGCATTTGAAAGCGAATTAATAGAATTAACAAAAAACATAAAATTTCGTAAAGTTTATAGCAAATTCCAGAAAAAATTAAAAGAAGATATATCTAATATACGCAATTGTAATCTTACCTACACTTTTGCAGATAAAACATCTAATTTATCTAAACAAGACTACAATCAATTATTAGCACACATACATTGGATGTGTGCTAGCTGGGGTATTTTTGTATCTATCTATAGATAATAATATCTAATTATAATAACTTTAAAAAATCTTAAAAAAAAAATGAAAACTTTTAAAATTAGTAATATAAAAATAACTATAATAACAATATATATATCTTTTAAGTTACCAGGGTAATTTTACTCAGTCCCACCTCAATCCTTTATCTTGCCTTAGGTTAAAATTTCACAAGCTATCATATCCAATTAATCCTATCCTATCCAATTAATCCAAAGCAATGTGATGATCAATCCAAATGCTAAAAAATTTTTTTGAATTATTCTAAACCATCTGAAGAACATTTGAACCATTTATTTTGGGAGTAAAAATATATGTAATAATAAAAGAACAGCTTATTTCTAGATTAGTGTAATTCTTAATTTTTGAAAGTTTTTTATACAATTTTACGCAAATTGACATATAAGTATAAACAAGAACTACAACTATTTAAATATTATGAGTGACTGAGGTTTAAAGTAACATCACTTCAATAGTTTGCTTCAAAAAAATGTCTTTCCTGGCATTAATTTTAGCAAAATTTGTAACAACTTTGTTGTAGCCAAATTTTTTTACAAGATCAGGCTCAATCAAAGTAACTAGAAGATTGGTAACTAGAAGGTGGTTTAAACTGTAGATTTTAGCACTATTTAGATTATACCATGCTTACTAAAGAACGCTCACATGCTTTTTAAAGACCGCTCATCTTCGACGGTAGAAACAGAAACTGCGTTAAAAATGCGAGGTAGAAGGGTGTTGCTAATGCTCACTTAAAACTTTTTTTTTTAACTGTTTTTATGAAAGTGAGTTTTTTTCCTTGCTTCTTCGTGAAATATTTTCCTTTCTTTTTTTCCTCTTTAGAAAAAACTAAATAAAATCATAACATGCTACACCGGAGGCAATCAAATGTGCTTTGTTAATGAAGTAGGGCCAAGAAGATTGAATTCGGCTAAAATAACTCCTCGCTTACACAGAAGGTTTGGTAGAATGAACTTCTGTAACAGTAAGATTATTGAGCCTTACATGGCATCAAGAACTCTTAAGGATACTTCTGAAGTGTGATTTGAAGTGTGCAACCAGGTATTACCCCATAATGATGTATATTGGCCAGGGTAATTTTTTTGTCATTTGATTAAATTTTCTTCCTAGGTAAGAAAATTTAATCAAATGACATTTGCAACAACGAGTTTGAATTACTTGACAGTGACGCAGAAAGAGATAATCATGATAAATGTTCTTTGGTACAGAACAAATACAAATAACTATGTAAAGCAATTGATTGATGTATAATAAATAACTAAGATCCATGCCGTTTTGTAAGTACAATTCTAAAAGACCTGAATACGCAGTCTCCTGCAACAGGTATTAAACTGCTAAGTTAGAAAGCCAAAGTATATTTTGAAGGAAGAATATTGATTTTAAGCATAGTATTGGTAGAGAGAAATTATTTATTGGATTCGATAGTAGGCAGGATGTTAGTTTAGTAAATACTTCAGAGTGCAAAAAGACTGTCAAGTCAGAACATTATGTCGATTAAATTTCTCTTGGAGAAAACTTTAATGTTTAAGTTGTACCTAGAAATAGTTTCTCATATAATGTGAAAGAGACTATGTTAGTTATAAGAAATACAAGTACAATGAAAAGCCTTTCAGTTTTAATGCGATATTTTTCGTGAAATATTTTCGAGGAAGTCAACGAACTTGTATTAGATTCATCATCTACTGTTGCAAAGTACTTTCCAAAGAGGAAATTTGGAAATTACTTTGCACTTTTCGTGTTTTTTTCCAATTTTGTATTTAAACTTTCAGTTTAAATACAAATATTGGAAAAAAACACGAAACTACCCGAAAGTTTAATAAGGGTTAAAGAAGGCCCTTGGAGTGACAGTGCAAAGTAATTTCCAAATTTCCTCTTTGGAAAGTACTTTGCAACAGTAGATGATGAATCTAATACAAGTTCGTTGACTTCCTCGAGTAAAATTGCATCTGCTTTTCACATTGACCCCAACAACTTGCAAAAAGATAGTATCGTGGCTTTTTATTTTTTATAGAAGACCTCAACATCAAAAACAAAATTGACTGGAGATCAGTTTTTAAAAGCTCTTATAAACGTAAATATTGTTTGGAAAATGTGTCATGCAGAAGGTGTCACATGTATTGGTTGCTGTTTTTAAGAAATACTTAAGGTTAGTTTGTAAACAAGTTTAAATTAAATATTTTAAAATTTTTCTAAAATGCTGCAAACTGTTGCTCAAGTTCTTCAGCTTGTAAAATATTTTTTATATAAATTCCTTCGTCAAAAAAAAAAAACTAGTGAGTTATGAGTATCTTTTGTTTGAATTGGACCGTAACAAAATATAGCGTTGCTTGTAAACTGCATTTGATCAGATGAAACTGAGTTTACTTTATATTATGATAAATTGAGGCTTGTACATCCCATAAGTGCTTCTGAATATCTCTAAAAGTTTTCTTTCTTCTACACTACCGAAAAATGGAGAGATTTTGTCAATTTATAGATATTTGAAAAAAAACGCAGCTAATAACACTTAATCTCAATATAGATTAACTGAAACGTAATAAATTCTAAAAAGTACTTGCGTAGTTTTAGCTCTTAAAATTTATTCCCAATGGAATAATAACAAATTATTAAAATTTATTATTATTATTATTATTTATTTATTAGTTTAAAAAATTTAGCTCTTAAAAAAATAAGTTGTAGCTCTTAAAATTCATTTTTAATTAGACCGAGAAAGTGTCAAAGGGTATTATTATTTATTTTATTTTTTTTTAATTTAATAATAGAATTTTTCAAAATACTAGATATTACATATCGAAGTGTGAATGCTAGATATAGATATGAAACAAGCAATACCATCAGGGAATTAGATGACATTGATTTTTAAAAACTATCAGTTCATTAGATTATAAAAGTTTATTAGTTTAAAAAATTGAATGTTAATATATTTTTAAGGTTGGTTTTTATCAATCGATTGGTAAATTTATTTGTAAAATTATGTCAAAGCTCAAGTAATAAAAGACGTTTTTATCACTTAAAATATGACTTTAAAACGTACAAGAAAAAGTTATGTCTCTTCTATACCTTCAAACGTTCATAAAAAATTAAATATGCAATGCAAGATAAATTTCCAAGGAAGTTTGTATTTATTTCCTTTGGTTCATTCACATAA